ATAGATTGTAACCCCTTAGCTAGAAGATAATTTGTTACAATTCATCATGATATCTTTTATAGTGATTTGTACTCTCTAGATATGTTTATTATGTTCTTTGATTTGGTGGGTGGAAGTGGGAGTTGGTAGTCTCAATGAGAGACTGGTAGAGCCAATTTAATTGTCAAACTGTTTATTATGTTAGCTACTTTTCCTCTAGTAAAAGGAAACAATGGGGTTGGAAATGGGAATAAGGCAGCAGCAGCCCTGTGTTTTCCAGCAGTTGCTAAGATATAGAAAGGTTTGTATTGGTTTCGTTATCAGTTTAATTGTGTGTATTTTATTGCTACATATTCTTTTATATCTTTGTATTAAATTTTACTTTGATGCAGTATGATGTATTAAATTAATTAAGTGTAGTCATCTAGATAGAGCTTTTAGGGAATAAACATTTTACTAAAATAATTTTAAAAGACAAGTGCCAGCATTTATTATATGTCTGACACTGTACTATATATTAATATTATTTTATTTAATTTTAAAATAATTCATTAATTTTTTCTCCTGACTTTGCTTGTGGAAAATTGCATAAGCAAATCCCAGGGAGTGATACAGCTTTTATTTGAAATCCAGATCTAATACTGTGACAATATTATTTGCTAATCATGAGAAATTTTTAGGAGCCAAAGAATGAAGGATAACTGCTAATGGAAGATTCTGAATTGTGTAAACTAAAGGGATCTTTTACAATTGTGCTTTTATTATTTTTCTCACTGTGATTTTCAGTTTGATTCTTGCCCATTCATTATCCAAATTCATATTTAATCAGCTATCTTTTGTTTAAGTTGTTCATTTATGAAAATGAATAAAGATAAATGTTGCAGGGTCATATAGCTGAAGAGAAAAGAGTTGCTTCTGTAATATTTTTGAACTAGAAATTTAAATTTTACTTTTAAAAAGAATTTCAGAAGGCCAATATTTGGTCATAATAATCAGCAAAATTAGTGTTAATTTATTGAATGTAGGATAGTGCAGAATAATTGATTTAAGATAATATTGAAATAGAGATAAAATCAAATAAAAAATGTTTAAGCTTTAAAAAGGGTAGTATTTTAGAGTTTTATAATTGAGAATATTTAGCACTTTGTTTAAGAGTCTCTCTGATAGGATGAACTCCCCCTACTTAAGAACATAGATTCAGGGTTAGGTATATGACATTTCAGAGGTGGTAATAGTACATTTTCTGGAAATGCAGTTGGAAATACTGCTATTCAAACTGATAAGGCATCAGATTAGAACTTAACATTGTTGTAATTTTTGTACATAAGGTAATAGTAGAAGCCATCAAACTTTATGGTCTTTTTGAAGGGTATTTTACAGAGAACAGCCCAAGACATCTTGGAAAATATCCAACCAGATTTGGAAGAGGTTGGAATCAGTTGGAATCAATGAAATAAAAAGATAAAAAGCAGTTCTGGCTGTAGTAAAAGAAACATGATCATATTGTGCCGTAAGAATCTGATTGTAGAACTTTATTGGGTGGTTAAGAATATCAAACATTAAGGGCCTCCCCGGTGGCACAGCGGTTGAGCGCTGGGTTGCGAGGCTGCCCTCAGCCTCTGCGGTGCCGGTTCAATCCCCGGCTGCTCCCCGGCCACCGGAGGAGGGTCCCACATGGCGTGCAGGCCACCGGAGGAGGGTCCCACATGGCGTGCAGACCTCTCCTGCCGCCCGCTGCTCCCCTCAGCAGTGTCCTTCGGTCCTTCTGCCTGCTCTGCTCCCTGCTCTGGCTCTGGTGAATTCTCTCACCCTCCCGCGCTTCTGTACCCAGTGCTTGTATAAATAAATAAATAAATATTTAAAAAAAATAAGTATGAAAAGTTTAAAAAAAAAAGAATATCAAACATTAAAAAGATAAAGAGCACAAGAACTGAGACAAGTAAGAATGTAGTCATTGACCATTTTCAGTAGAATTATTTCAACTGAGTTGTGATTGGAAGCTGAGTAGGAAGTTAAGGGAGTGAATAGTAAGAGATTGAGGCAGTTCTGACATCACATTAAAAAATATGATAGAATTATTCACGGAATCATTCAGCTTTTAAACTTTCTTTCCAAAATGGAGGAATTTGTAATTGTGCTAAAGGCAGAAAGGAAGGACCCCATGGAAAAGGAGAAATTGAAGCTTTTGGGAGGAATTTTTTTTAAGAGGGGATAGAGGAAAACTAAAGTCAAGCGTTAATCTTCATATTAGAATGGAGGCAGAAGTACATAGTTATAAGGGTAAGCTCCCACATAAAATCCTACTTCTCTAAATTATGTGTCTTAATAAATGAATGATTTTCACCTTAATCAGTGTATTCAGGCCAGAAATTCTTGGAGCTCTGCTTCTAGGAAGAATTAGGAATATATCCATTCTCTGATAGTATGAATTTTTACATGGATTTAAAATTTGGGCAAGAACACCTTTCATTTAGTGTATGAGGATAAATGAAAAATATACATCTTTGTAAAAACAGAAAATACACATTTGTGTTTCTGTTTTTACAAAGGTTGAGTGTCTTAAGAAAATCTGTGTAACTGAGATTTTTAGTTTGTCATTGACATTTTAAAATGTGGATTCAAAACTTTTATATAGAGATGATTATAGTAATCAGGGTAACCATTAAAATATGGTTTCTTTCTTAATCAGAATTGTTCTTTGTTTCTTTATATGACTTCTGCCCTAGTCCTCTCAGTTTAGGTAGTTTTTCTACAATTGGGAAACACTCAAACTCTAGTTTGAAAAATCAGGGGTTTAAAGTAAACACTTTAAAATTTAAGGTTAAAAGAACATGTAAAATGTTTTTAAGGAATAGGTGCAGAAATGGAAAAGGATAGTCCTTCTTGTTCTTATCTTATTTATAATGGTATATTCACTTCATCTTTCTCCTTTGAAAAATTATGTAACATATTTTTAAAGTACTTTGCCAGGCTCTATAATAATAGCTGTGAAATAAACATAAGTGAGCGAAGTAAGCTTCCTGCTCTTCTAGAGCTCCCATTCTAGTTAGATATGTGAACAAATAATTAACTCTCTTTCTCTGCTTAGTTCTTTTACTTTGAAGCACCAAAGTGACTTTTAAATATTACATGGACATCATAAAATATATCCAGTAATGGTCTGTTGAAAGTATGAATGTAAAAGATCTAAATCATATTTTAAGGAGAAAATATTATTAATAATAATATTAAAAAGTAAAGTAATAATTGAAGTAGTATTTCTTTCTAACTATGTGTCTGACTTAAAAACTTTCTAATAGATTTATATAGTAGGCTTAATAAAGCACTTTGGTAGCTGATGTTGTTATAGAGCAACCCCGATATTAAACGGGTTCTTGGCTGTGGGTCCTCACCCGCGCGCTTTAAAGGGACTTATGAATACTCTACTACAGACGCACACAAAAGGGTTAATAAAAGGTTTATTTACAAGAGAAAAAGAAATAAGGAAAATGTACAACTCAGGGAGAAAATAGGAAAATAAAGTCTTTAATGCGTCCTACCCGATCCGAGGACCTGGAAACCCAAAGTCACTCTCCGAGCTGGCCGGAAGCTGCAAGCTGGCCGAGCGCCAAAAATGGGGGATTTCCCCAAAGCCCACGTGTCTGCCTTTTGTATCCACCTGGCTGCTTAACCCCACCCTCAGGTCCCAGCCACCTTCCCTTTGGTGGTGATGGGATTTGGAGTTCCCAGTGTCTTTGGCTTTGACCTGGGGTGGGGGTGGAGTCCACAAAGCCTATATGGAATTTGCTTTGGGACATCCTTTTCCCCCTAACAATGTGAAAAGATGAACATCTAATATAATCCGTCTTCCATCAGCTCTAAGTCAAATATTTATCGATATTTTCAAGTGGAAATACAATGACAGCACAATTTTGCTTGCTCAAATTTTCAGTACTTTGTTTCCAAGATTTGACTGTTCTTGGAAGGTCATCAGTGTTTGACAATTTTTGAAGAGAGAGATAAAGTCACATCTGGTTGTCATTCCTTTTAGGCAGTCAGTATTGACTTAGTGGAATATTTCTTACTGATTTTATGGGTAAATATACTAATACTTGCATTTAAGAGTACATCTAATACTGGGGGCAGATATTGTTTGCGTGTACATGTTTTTAATACCACAGAAACATTTCCGAAGGCTAATTTTCCAGGCACACAGGCTACTTTAAATGATAGGAATGGTCTCAGTTTGGGATTTTGAAGTTCATGCTTTAGAAGATTTATACCATCTTTTAGAACAGATAAGTAGATGTTGCTAAAATGTCAAAGAATCAAGAGACACTTATGCCACCTCTGGGGAAATTGCTGATGTTTATAGTATCTGCTTCTGAATGAACGTAATGATTTTGCTATAGAGTGGTTAGGAAAAGTATGTACATCTTAAGTTACTTGAAATTTAGCTGCAGAAAATGTCATACACTTAGTTTATTTTTGTGATTATTACCTTAGAAAAGTGAGAGATTTATTGAGAGGCCTTCAGAAATTTTAAACAAAAATAGTGAAATTAAACATAGACTGAATGGAAGGAATCCTAAAAAGGCAACATCTTCTTACAGCCTGTGTGACCTTTCATTAATTTCCATTTCTTTTGATTTTAAAAATGTAAAACTTTCAGGATAAAAAAGGACATGTAATAAAATATGTAGGAAGCTACATCATAATTTGAAATCAAACTTAAGGTTAGCTGCTATTGTATTTTTAATAAAAATTCATTTTTATTTAATAACATGCATACTAAATCTGATATTGCCAGGATTTTTAGGAGGAAGGATAATAAGAGATTGGAAAATAGAGGTAAAATAAGAGTTTTTATTGAGTGTTTGAAATCATTCTTATTAAATCAGCATGTTGTCATTTTGTGAAAGCATTGTAATAGGAACAACTAAGATGCACTTTTGGATTTTGATATAACAGTTGAATTTGTCATTTTTTACATCATTTGAGTAGGTACACACCATTTACTCTTCCTTCTCTTAAACTTGAAGGTTATGAATACTGATGGTACTGGGAGACGAGTACTGGTGGAAGACAAAATTCCTCACATATTTGGGTTTACTTTGTTGGGTGACTATGTCTACTGGACTGACTGGCAGAGGCGTAGCATTGAAAGAGTACACAAAAGAAGTGCAGAGAGGGAGATCATCATAGATCAGCTACCAGACCTCATGGGCCTCAAGGCCACAAATGTTCATCGAATTATTGGTAAGTAATTCCAAAATTCTGTGAGAAATGGAAGCCAGAAATGAGAAAAGATGGGAGATACTCAGCACCGTGTGTCAGTGTAAATTATTGATGTTTAGAGGGAATGTGGAAATGTTAAGCCTTTCTAAACCAGAAGAGGGAATTTTCAGCATTGGCCCAGTTTTCTGGATACATAATTTGAATTGAAGAGACACACTACACACACACACACACACACACACATACACACCCTTTCATTCAGTAATTCAATCCTGTTGTATGAATAACATACTTTAAGGCTTACTATGGGCACAAAGGAAAGTATTTTACCATACTTTTATTCCCAGTGGATTGGCATGGGGTTTTGATATGGTGTTTTCCTTCTTGACTGATTCATTCATATTAACCTCACCTGATGGTCCCCCACTCCCTGCAGGTCAACATATTGATGCCCACTTATTATGGACACCTGATTGGCATAGTGCATGATAGCCCAAAACTCCTGGACTCAAGTGATGCTCATGCCTCAGCCTCTTGAGTAGCTGGGATTATAGGCAAACAGCTGGGACTACAACTGCATGCCATCATGCCCAGCTTTTTATTCTCTATTAATCCTTAGGGTGTTTGTTTGTGAGATTAGAATTGAAATTCTAGATTTGGGAGCAGATACAACAATAGGTCTTTGTGAACCAAATTTTTCGTCATTTTAAAGTGAAAAATGCGTTTTGTGTCTTTATATGTATGCCCTATTTCTTTTTATAATTATCTTTTAGGTACCAACCCTTGTGCAGAAGAAAATGGGGGATGTAGCCATCTCTGCCTCTATAGACCTCAGGGCCTTCGCTGTGCCTGCCCCATTGGCTTTGAACTCATCAGTGACATGAAGACCTGCATTGTGCCTGAGGCTTTCCTTTTGTTTTCACGGAGGGCAGATATCAGGCGAATTTCTTTGGAAACTAACAATAATAATGTGGCCATTCCGCTCACTGGTGTCAAAGAAGCTTCTGCTTTGGATTTTGATGTGACAGACAACCGAATTTACTGGACTGATATATCGCTCAAGGTTAGCAAAAGAATTAGAATATTAAAACAGGGAACTAAAAGGAAGTGCTAGAACTTCTAAGTCTTCATGCTGTAATCAACTTCCCTCATTAAAAGGTATAGCTTAACAAAAGCCCTGGTTTTTAAAGGGAGTCAAGGGCAAGGCCATTTTAGTATTATTAAGTGCCTTTTATTATGAAGTACTTGAGTGTTCTAATCTATAAGATATAAAGTGCATTATTCCATTTAAAAATGATGAGAGACATTTCCTACAATTAGTTGAGTAAGCACACATACACAGAAGTGGCTTATAGAAACTTGACTCAACCTATTTTAAACAAAATTTTGGGATTGAAGTAGAAATTGCCATTTATGTTACAATATATCTATTTTCTTTTTCCTCAAATTAATAACAAAAAGATACTGAGTTAGTAAGATGGCATTTTCTGACCAGAAATTCTGAAGAATCTTTCCTTTTTCAGATTGTTTTGGGCTTGTTTCAGATGACTGTGTAAAATTTTGTCTAACAGGCAAAAAATTATTTGTAGTAGAGTTAAAGTTGGATTCTTGTGATATTTGGTAGAATTTACTAGGTGATTAAATAAATGAAGTAAATTAATAAATCTTAGTTTTATTGTGTGGCCTTGTAAGGTTCTTCATCTTGAAAAAAGATAATAATGCCTGTTCTCTCAAGGCTATGGTGAGGAATAAATAAAAAATATATGTACCCAACGTACTAAGGGAAGTACTTGACCAGAAATAGCAGCCATTGCTAATGACTTGAATTAAGATTATTTAAAATTTCAGGGGTCTCAAAGCTATGGTAGTAATACATGATAGCGTGTGCACTTTATAAGAGATAAGATTATTGAAATCTTTTCAGATAGACACAATGACATGGCATATTCTCAAGCACTTTAAGAAAACTAATAGTGAAGAGTCTGCAATATTCTGGTTATATCCTTTTCAGTTGATTACTAATAAATTTTAAAAGAAAAATCATCTTATTAAAATAAATTTGGGTCCTTAAGAATTTCAAAATTTTCTTCCTGAAATGACAATAAAATTTGAGATCACAGTTGCATTTACTAGAGATTGACGTCAGTGTTTTTCTGTGCTTGTAAAATATGTGAATTTTATTAAGAAATGGTATGCCCCTGATTCTCAGGTTCTCCCAACCATTAAAAAATAAAGTAAACCAACTATTCTTTCTGGATAGTGTTTTGTGTCATGTAATTTTTTTGTTAAATCTTATTTTTGCAGACCATCAGCAGAGCCTTTATGAATGGCAGTGCACTGGAACATGTAGTAGAATTTGGCTTAGATTATCCAGAGGGCATGGCGGTAGACTGGCTTGGAAAGAACCTGTACTGGGCAGACACAGGAACAAATCGAATCGAGGTGTCAAAATTGGATGGGCAACACCGACAAGTTTTGGTGTGGAAAGACCTAGATAGTCCCAGAGCTCTTGCATTGGACCCTGCAGAAGGGTAAACATCTTTATGTGTGAATTCTGTGCAGCTACCTTGACTTGGCCTAGTTATAGATTATAGACTCTTGATGTCTTAGATGATAGTAAATAATATGAAGTAATATTTAGTAATTAAATAATAGGTGTTAATAATCTTAAATAATTAATATTTAATTAAACATAAATAATAGTATTTGTTAAGACAACCATAGTCTTCATTTTAAACCCATTAGATGAGATTTCATGGATGTAGAATTAGTAATTATAGTAAATCTCACTTTTATCATTATTAGCATTGTGTGAAGAAAGAATAGTGACATAGATTAATAATTAAATATTACCGATCATATTCCTATACTCAGTAAGCAGCTGTTGTATTAACAATATCATCAAATCTGTATTTGCTAGCACTCTCTCCCAAGTTGTGTGCTAAGAGATAATTGCATTAAAATTCCATTTTAGAATATTCTTTCATTTAAAATGGATGATTAGTTTGATCATTATTACGGCATGGCAATAATTGCTTATTAAGCGATAAATTGTCTGTATAACCAGTTTTCAAGGGTATGTGATGTTTCTTACATGATTCAGTATGTTTTAAAAAGTCAGCAACTTCAAAATGGAAATTGAAGAACAATTTCACTTACAAAAGCAAAGTTATTAATGTAAACAGATAAGTATATCTATCATTTATTAAAAAGTTATCTTGAAATCACATTAATTCCATGATTAGCTCATTAGCTATATAGTTATAAGGCAATATCAAAGATAGTTTTTCTGTGCTGACATGTTGTGGTTGGATTATAGTGATCTTTACTCTAAGCATTAGTTACGAGACAGATAAATTTAGTAGTTGAGGCTAAAGACTCTCGTTTATGTGGCTGCTGGCAACTGTGAAATGTCTCTCACAGTTGTTTCTCTTTGGCTCTTGTGTTGAGCATGTGCCTGTCATCTGACAAGTACAAATGCAAACAAAGCCTGAGACCAACTTTAATTTTCAGAAAAGCATATTCATACTTTGCTACCAAGTCAACTGTCAGCTGACAGGCTGATGAGTGAGTATGTGTACTCAGGTATTTGGTGAGAGCTGGCAGGTAGCATTCAGAGTATGTCAAACCTTAGCACCTTACTAGTTTAGTTAAAAGGACATATGATTAAGGATTTAGATCTAGTTCTGCTATGTGACTGGCTTTAAGACATTCTACTAGACAAATCATTTACATTTCTTTTGGTGCTGTGACCTACTCATCTGTAAAAAGCCTGTATTGTAGGCTGCTCTGTGGTTAAAGTGGAAAATTCAAAAAATAGTAAAATAAAAGCAAAAGAATATTCCAAAATTTCATAGGGATTCTAGTAGCAGTATTTAGTGCCCAGCAGACATGTTAAGGGGTAAATCATTTCTCTTAAATATATGTTTTCTTGGAATGTGTAACCAAATTCATTTTTAGACTTAGCTTTTAACTTCAGGTAAAGGCTATTTTTATCTTTGATATACTCTGCAACTTGTTTTTGGGGAGAGTTGGTTACACAAATCAAAAAGTAGGCTTAAGTTAAAAACATTCAAATTACTTATATTTAGAGATACATAAAGATATTTTATTCAGCAGTGAACCAGATCCTTTTTTTTTTAAATAATAAATTTTATTTTTATATTCCCCATACAATTGCAACCCCCCCATTCTGACCCCAATCCCTCCCCTCCCGCCCCTCACCCCCCAAAAAGTGTCTCTGGTTCATAGTTTTTTGTTGATTTTGATTTTCGCTTTCTTATAGTTATTCATTTTTCTGGTCCCTTATTTAAGTTTTCTAGATTCCTGCTATGAGTGAGACCATCCGGTATTTTTCTTTTTCTTTTTGGCTTATTTCGCTGAGCATGATGAACCAGATCCTTTTTGCTCTCTGCAGTATCAGTTTTGTAAATGCAAGTGCTGCAATAAAGAAATTATTGGTTTATTTCCAAATCCTAGGTTTTGGATGGAACAAATTCGTTGGAAAGACTAAGGAAAACTGACTCACTTCCTTTCTGGGATATGAGAAAAAATATTTAGTTTAGTTGAGGGTGCCAGAATAATTGAAAAAATTATAGCCATGATTTTGTTTTACCAATTTCCTTGGTTTACTCTGAGTGACTATAACCCTTCCTCCCAAGTAATCAAAAGTGCAATGTCAAATATCCATCGTTTTGAATTTAGATTTATGTATTGGACTGAATGGGGTGGAAAACCTAAGATAGACAGAGCTGCTATGGATGGAAGTGAACGTACTACGTTAGTTCCAAATGTGGGCCGGGCAAATGGCCTGACTATTGATTATGCTAAAAGGAGGCTTTATTGGACAGACCTGGACACCAACTTAATAGAATCTTCAAATATGCTTGGTAAGTTGTCCTTCTTTTTATTCAGACAGATAGTATATTATTCTTTCTATGTAAAAACCAGTGCCTGCTATTCACCATTGGCTAAATACTATTAATAAAACTTCATGTGAATGTCTAGATTCTTCCCCTGTCTGGAATTATATTGTGTTTATTATTATTATTAATAGTGGGCCAGTTACTTGGATTCACATCTTTCTCTTTTGTGGAAATTTCATTATAGTTGGGCTTATAATGGAATTTATAACTCCCTAGATATTCTTGAAGTGACTTTTTATACCACTAAAATACAGTATATGCTTTCCATCTTTTTATGGAAGGAAGAAGCAAATTTGAACTGTAGACACACCTCATGGAGAGAAAATAAGAGCACAACCAAAATAGAACATTTGCAGGAGTTTAAACAACTCAGTGATTTATAGCAGAAATATAATATGAAGCATGGGGTCAGACTGCCCGTGGATTGATTTCAGAAGACTGCTCTGGCTTTAGAATTGGTTTTATATGAATTGTTGTATTTTAAATTGCTTACAAATGTAATGTTTTATATGTTTTGATTTTTTTTTTTTGGCCAGTAAGACTCTTATATTCTTACATGTTTCATTCCTCTGCTTCTCCCCTTTCTACTGCCTTTCCAAAAATAGGACTCAACCGTGAAGTTATAGCAGATGACTTGCCTCATCCTTTTGGCTTAACTCAGTACCAAGATTACATCTACTGGACGGACTGGAGCCGACGCAGCATTGAGCGTGCCAACAAAACCAGTGGCCAAAACCGCACCATCATTCAGGGCCATTTGGATTATGTGATGGACATCCTCGTCTTTCATTCCTCTCGGCAGGCAGGGTGGAATGAGTGTGCTTCCAGCAATGGGCATTGCTCCCACCTCTGCTTGGCTGTGCCAGTTGGAGGTTTTGTTTGTGGATGCCCTGCCCACTACTCTCTTAATGCTGACAACAGGACTTGTAGTGGTAAGCTACATTTGCCCCCAAAGCAAACTAGAATTAGAAGACAGGATTTTGAAAACAGTATAATTCATGTTCTTTCTAGACTATAAAGTGTAGAACAGAGTTAATCATTTGTTTAGTAAAAGAGGAATATTAAAAGTAAAAATCTTACAAATTTTTGTTTTTTGCTATTTGTTTGATAAGTTATTTAATGTTATAACTAATTAAGTCTTTTACCCTTGGATTTTAAAAATTTAATGCAAAATTTGCATAGCTTCATTGAGATAGGGGCATTCATGCATACTATATTGATTCATATTTTTCTTCATAAGAAAAGGGAAGAGAACAACAAGAAAATCTCCAAAATATAACCTCTTTGTCCTTTTAAAGTTGTTAGATGGCTAAAGATTGAAAAAAGAAAAAATTAAGTATGTAAGAGAGCAGGCAGAAAATGCATATGGGTAAATTTAGCCTGTATAAAACAATAGTAGATAAATGGGGAACTAGAGAGCACATAATTTGATCATACTGGGTGGTAATTACTTAATTCCAGCTGATAATACCAAATCTTCCCATCTAGTCACAAATCCAAGTTTTTTTTCTGCCTGCAATAGCTCCTGATTTTTAATTGTTGTGTTTAGTATATTCATACTAAATATACACATACTGTGCTAGAAATGAAACACAGTGTGTGAAGAAAATATTGCTGGGTTGGAGAAACCTGGTGTATGATTCAAGTATATATGTATGAAGGCTCATGACTCTGGATAAATGAGAACAAATTGGTTGATAGGATGAAGAGATGAATTCGAAAGAGTAGATTTATGGAAGAGAAATAGGGCATGACTCAGTTGGGAAAAAGCTAACAAAACTACTAGAGGATATTGGATATAATTAACTATTGAAATTACTCTAATATACTTGTTTAAGAAGTTGTATAGCAAAGGATTTAGTCTACTTTGACAGGAGACCTCAGATGTGAGAAAAATATGTTTATAATATGATAAGGAGTTTCTGCCACATACTGGTTTGTGCTTTATGAACCAAGTCATAGTTATTTCAAGCCATGATTTTTCTCATTTACAAAATGGGAGTGATAATAACTATCTTACAGGGTTGCTGTGAGAATTAATCAGATATAACATAATTGATTGCTTTGGAGAATACATTGGTGGGGGGAGAATATATCGGTAGCAGGGAAGTCACTCTTGTGTGACATTGGAGATAGTGTGGGACGGGGGTGGTGGCAGTCGTGATGAAGAGAAGATAAAGAATTCAGGTTAAGTTCCAGGGCGACCCCAATGTTAAGTGGGGTGCCTGACTGTGGGTCCTCACCTGCGTGCTTAAAAGGGACTTAGAATAAGACTCAACTGCAGTCACACACAAAAAAGTTAGTAAAGGATTCATTTACAAAAGAAGGGGAAATGAAGAAATGAATAACTCAGGGAGAAAGAGAGGGAGATCAATTCGTGAATGTGTCCTACCAGTTCCGCTGTGCTGGGACCCCAATAGTGCACTGAAAGCCAGTGAAAAACCCAGGACCCCCAAAGCCCACGTCTGGTTACATGCAAAACCTGTTTGTTTAACTCCACCTCAGTTCCTAGCAATCCTCCCTTCAGTGGTGATGACATTATGAGATATGTGGTCATTGGTATCTTGGATCTATTTGGTGGGTCGGGAGTGGGGTCCATAGAACCTATTTGTGGAGTTTGTTCAGGACATCCTTTGCCCCCAGCAATTCCCCTCTTTCACCTTTTGCCACTTTTTTTATGGTGATGAAAGTCAAATGTGTGGATGCTGGGGTGCAGCCTCAGATGATGATTTTTCAGGGTAGTCCAGTTTGTGCAAGAGGAAACAGCAGGCATTATCCAGTGTGGCAAACAAAAGTCCTCCATTCCTGGAAAATAGTTTATCACATTTATATTTGGAAGCTAGAATGAATAAAACTTGTTAATGGGTTGCATATGGGGAAGAAGAGGGAGAAAGCAAGGATGACTTCTAGATTTTTGGTTTGAGCAGTTAGTCAATGAGGAAGACTGGAAAGGAAGATTAGTTTACAACACGTAATAAAAAAATTAATTTTAGGCAGATTTGCCTAAAGGAATATTAAATAGATAAATTTAAAACAAATATTAAATAGGTGCTAATTAGGTAGTTGAGTTTCAGCACTTAGAGGAGAGAGGTGAGGTTAGGTAACAATTTTGGAATTGCTGCATGTATATAAATGGGCGAGATTATTTAGGGAGACAGTACTGAGCTGGAGTCAGCAAAACTTTTCTGTGAAGAGTCAGAGTAAATAGGATTTGTGAGTCCTGAGACTCACAGACCACTTCAACTTTGTCCCTTTAGCATGAAAGCAGCCTTGGTCAATTTTTAATATGTGGCTGAATACCAATAAACTTTATTATAAAAACAGGCAGCAGTCTGGATTTAACTGCAGGTAATAGTTTTCCAGATCCTGATGTAGAGAAAAGAAAAAGTCTGGTAATCTTAGGAACTCTGGTTGAGAGAAACTCCATGAACACTGAAGAGTAGCAGCCAGAGGTAAAAGGAAAACCAGGGAAGAAGAGGGGCAGAGAAGACAGGAGATGAGATAGTTTTAAAAAAGAACAGTGTTGAATGCTAAGAGGGATGGTGAGGCCTAGGACAGTGTTCTTGGATTTTGGATAACGGTTATTAGTAGCCCTGAAGAGTATAATGGTGAAAGGTTGGAGCAGATAAAATGAAGGGAGGAAAGCAAGGGGACGTAGCATATATACAGACACCCTTTTCAAGAAGTTTAACTTTGAATGGAAGGAGAAAATAGGGTAATAAGTGAAGGAAGATGGAGACAAGAAGAAGATGGAAAGACTTTGGGATCATTGTTTCAGTTGTTTATACTTGTGTTACAGAGCAACCCCGATAAGAAATGGGTTGTCTTGTTAGGGGGAAAGATGTCCTGAGCTAATTCCGTACAGGCTTTGTGGACTCCACCCCACTCCAGACCAAAGCCGTCAAGACATTGGGAAAGATAAATCCCGTCACCACCAAAGGGAAGGTGGCTGGGACCTGAGGGTGGAGTTAAGCAGCCAGGTTTGGTATAAAAACCAGACACATGGGCTTTGGGGTCCCTCTCTTGCTCGCCTCCTGGCTTCACTGCTCGTGGCTCGCGGCCAGCTCTCAGAGTGCTATTTGGGATTCTAGGTGGGCGGATCAGGTAGGACGCATTTAAGACTTTATCTCCCATTTTTCTCCCTGAGTTGTACATGTTTTTCATTTCCCCTTCCCTTGTGAATAAATCTTTTATTGACCTTTTGTGTGTGCCTGCAGTGGAGTATGAAGTCCCTTTTAAGCGCGCGAGTGAGGACCCTCAGTCAGGTAACCCGTTTTATATTGGTGCTGCCCTGTAACAGTCTGACTGTGGGTTATCGCCGTGAGCTTAAAAGGGTCTATAATGAAACTCAAATGTAGGCACACACAGAAAAGTTAATAAAGGGTTTATTTACAAAAGAAGGGGAAATGAAGAAATGAAGAACTCAGGGAGAAAAAGAGGGAGATCAGTTTGTGAATGTGTCCTACTATTTCTGGTGAGCTGGAACCCCAATAGCACACTGAGAACTGGTGAATAACCAAGTGACCCCCAAGACCCACATGTCTGGTTTTATACCAAACTTGGCTGCTTAACTCCACCCTTAGATCCCAGCAACCCTCCCTTCCATGATGATGACATTATGGGATTTGTAGTCCTTGGTGTCTTGGATCTCTCTGGTCTGGGGTGAGGGTGGGTTCCATAAAACCTATTTGTGGAGTTTGTTCAGGACATCCTTCCCCCTTAACACTTGCATGTTGGTTGGTAAGTGAAGGTCACAAGAAATCAGGCCCTGGGCCCTGGTGGCACAGGGGTTAAAATCGCAGCACTATCAAGTTATCTCCAGCCATGGCCAGTGAAATGACCCACAAGGTGCAGCAGACCTCTCCTGCCCCCCCTCCCAGTCCCCTGCTCCCTTTAGCAGTGTTTTCCAGTAGATCTGCCTCTTCTGCTCTCCACTGTTGTCTCTGGTGAATCCTCTAGCCCCCCCCCCCACCCCGCACCTCTGTTCTGTACCCCAGTTCTTGTATGCATAAATAAATAAAAATAAATCTTTTTAAAAAAGAAAGAAATCAGTGCTGAGTCTCCCATTATGTCTTTGGTTACCTTCTCAAGATAAGTCAGCAGTGCTTCTAGGGGCCACCTGTTGTATACTCTCTATAATGAGTACTATTTAATATTTGTGTAGAGTTGTATTAGATTCCAAGGCAGATTATAGGAGTTTAACACAAGTTAAGAAGTTTTCTAATGTTAAGCAATTTACTCCTTAACCTGTGTCTCAAAAAAAGAAATCAGATCTTAAAAAATGGCTCCCCATTTCACAGAGTAAAAATCAAGTTCTTATAATGGTGTACAAATTCCTGTATGATCTGTCCCTCTCGCCACCTCCCTTTTACTTGTTTTATTAGCTTTATTGTTCTCTATGCTCTCCTTGACAGCCACATTGACCTCATTGTTGTTTTCAAGTATGCCAGTTACTCTCACCTCAGGACTGTTGTAATGCTTTCTTCCTTTGCTTGGAATGTTCTTCCTGCAAATATTTGCATAGATACACTTCTCAAAGTCTCTGCTTAATTGTGTCCTTCAGTGAGACCTGATCTACCTGTTTAAATTGCAAATCATTTTCCCAGCCTATTTAACATTGTTAGTGCCCCTTTACCAATACTTTTTTCTTTTTCCTAGTTGCACTTAACCACTCTTTGATATACTGTATAATTTACATACTCTATACCGTTTATATACTAAACTTCCTTATTATGTTTATTGCTTACTGTCTGTTGGAATATAAATTTCAGGAAGCAGCATTTTTTCCATTTTCTTCCCTGATATATTTGAGGTGCCTAGAATAAAGCTTGGTGGATTTCAAGAAATTATTGTTAAATAAAAGAAAAAACAAACAGGGCAGGATTTGGAAAAGTACATGTGCTCTTCTGTTCAACAGCTTTGTGACCTTGGGAAAAATTATTATAAACCTTTCTGAACCTTGGTTTGCTCATCTGTAAAATGGAGGTGATAATTGGAAGATTAAATAACTCTAGTAAGAGATGTGTCATGTTAGAGGTTTGTTTCTTTTTCCTCCCTCTTCTCTGAAATAATTTATTTTCTTTCAAAATCATGGCTATAGGGTTCTCCTTAATTGTCATCATTTAATGCTTGTTTTTGCATTTATACTGGACATTATTTGTGCCAGTGGTGAATGTAGTAGATGAAATAGATTAAAAAAAACCCTGCCTGCCCCCACGGAACTCACATTCCTCTAAGACAGCAAACTAAATTAGCTATATCACAGGTTATATAGAGATAAGTGTTAAGGGGAAATATTGGCAGGTATGGGGGGGGGGGGGGGGGCTTTTTATAGAAAAAGTGACAGTTTGTTGACTGAAGGAGGAAAGGAGATGAGCTGAGTGGCTGAGAGGTCTATTAAGCAAAAGGGGGCAGCAAATTAAAAGGCCCTGAGGAAAACCTGTCTAGCGTGTTAGAGGAACACCTAGGGGGCCAGTGTCTGAGACTGAATGAATAAAGAGATTAAGTCTGAGAGGAAACAGGAAGCCAAATGTAATCCCTTGTTCAGTACTGATGTAGCCTCTATGGCACCATTGTGCAAATTAAGACAATATATTTCCTCTGGACCAATGCAGCCTCACAATACATGACTTGGCTAATAAAGTGTGAACTGGGCTTGTCCTGACTTTCCCGTGGCACAGTCATTGTGGTGGGCATAGCCTTAATATTTTATGCTGTTTGTACACAAGAGCAATGCTTTCATTTAAGCTGCAGGTGAGCATTTGTATCCTCAAAAGAGAGCTGAAGAGTGTCCGCCTTGCTTATACCTCATCCTCCAACTTCTGTATGTGGCCGTCTTCACTGTGAAAATGTAAGACTCAATCTGATAGGATAATTTTTTATGAAAGTACCATTCTGCAGGAGATGAGAGAGTATGGTTGCATAAATTGAATAGGATGGATTTAGGCTTATAAAATTGCATATTCCTTGTGACTTTAAACTTGTAAATAAATGAAAGCATTTATTTAGAGCCACATTTGTCTTTACCCACATTTTTCTACAACAAAATTCATAGCTAATTGTGGAATCATACTGAAGATTAGAATTTGACTGAAAAAAAGGTGGCTTGTAAAATATACTAGGAACCAAATATATGTTTGATTAATTGATTCCCAGATAGGAGAAGCTGGCAACAAAAATTCTGGGTACCTTTTTTTTGTTTCATTGTATATCTTAGTATAACCAATGCTTATTCTGTTGGAGACTTAGAATTTAGAGTCTTGTATTTCTTGATTTACAGGAAAGTACTGCCAAAAAAAAGAAAGATGGGAGACTTGTTAGCTATTCTCTTATTTTGTGTTCATCCTACTTAAGGCAGGCTTCTATTAAAATTGCTGAAAGTTAAATCAATTTGTGATGGGATCCAGGTGTTGGAGAGTTCCAGTGGAATCACTGAAATAATTTCCAAATCTTCTGAGTTAGGTGTGGGCTTTTGGCCAATGAAGAACTTACTTAAGCAGAATTTTGGGGTTGTGAATATCAGGTTTCTTTGTAAGTGGCAATAAATTTCTTTAGGGTTTAAGCCAGTATGCATTTGAATGTAAATGTAAAGTAAACCAGGGAACCACAAATAATGTAACTGTGAAGAACAGGGTTTATTGGGAGCTAAAGCAAGGAATTGTAACTTGGCCACTTGTGTTTCTATCCCTAAGAAGCATAAAATTCTACTGTATTTAGGTGATGACTGAGCACCAAAAGAGTAGAGAAAGTTAAGTAGAGAAAGTTAAGACATTTATAAATACATTTTTTAATAAAGAGTTTCAGAATGGATTAGAGTTTTAAACTGTTGGTAACAGTCAAAGGCTATTCTTTTCTAGATGTTTTTCTGTTGTTAAAGGTGACTATGTAGTTACCAGAGGCCTAGTCCCTGCGAAAGGGGAAAGTTGTCTTTATTGTATTTCCCCATTTCATGAATTTAGAGCGTAAGATTTGTCTTGAGGATTAGAGATAATGAATATAAAGCATTTGTTAATGTTTTGTGTGTAAGATTTTTATAGGTCTTTCTCCCTGTAGCCATCTCATATACAGTACTAATAAGCCTGTATCTATCATACATGAGGATTTGTTTAATTCCTGCTAACACCAAGTTTATTATTCTATTATTGGTAGTAATAAACATTTTTTACTTTACATTATATAAAGTTGTTAAAGCCTTACAAAAATATTTTCACATACATTATAGAATTCTTATAGCAATTTAATGATGGGACAAGGTAATTAGAATCTAATTTTAGAATTGAGTAAACTTAACCCAGAGAGGTTTAGTGACTTAGTTAAGATCAGTGACTATGTAGTGAGAGGCCTTAGACTAAACCAAACTTATGTGTGTGTGTGTTTTTGTTTTTTAAAGATTTATTTATTTATTTTATACAAGAACTGGGGTACAGGTCAGAAGCACGGGAGGGTGAGAGAATTCACCAGAGCCAGAGCGGGGTGCAGGAACAGGCAGATGGACCAAAGACATTGCTGAGGGGAGCAGCGGGCGAGGCAGGAGAGGCCTGCTGCGCCATGTGGGGTTCTCCCTGGGCAGCGGGGAATGATACTGGAGCTGCAGAGGCTGCGGACAGCTTTGCAGCGCAGTGCTCAACTGCTGCGCCACCAGGGAGGCCCCCAACCTTATGTGTTTTGACCTATGGAGGCCTCACTTCCTCTCACCCACAGGAGTAGGTTATGGAGGAGGTAGCATTTGTCACATGGTGGACAAGGAGTATTTTGTTTAGCTTATCAAATGCTTCACTGAAATCAAGTTTCCTGCAAATACTACTGTGGACAAGATGGAGACAAGTCAGCTAGGTGGCTATCTCATTGCGTAAATTCATAACTGGTTTGGTAATGAGAGTGCTGATTAATGTTACCTTGAAAATTTTCAGGGGCATAACCAAAGGGTTGTCTTCAACCTTTCCTCTTCAATATCTGTGTCTGTTTTGTATGAGCTGTATAGTACACTGGCTGGTCAACTCTTTCAGATTTACTATTTTTTTTTCTTTAAGCTCCAACTACTTTCCTGCTCTTCAGTCAAAAGAGCGCCATCAACCGCATGGTGATTGATGAACAGCAGAGTCCTGACATCATCCTTCCTATCCATAGCCTTCGGAATGTCCGGGCCATTGACTATGACCCACTAGACAAGCAACTATATTGGATTGATTCACGGCAAAACATGATCCGAAAAGCACAAGAAGATGGCAGCCAGGTAATTCAGGACTCAGTTCAAAACCCATTTCTTCTGCCTAGTAACTAGACTGACCCACCATCCTATTTTACTTAAGCATTGACTCTGTTTGGGGTGGGGTGGTGACTAGCAGTTTTTTACCCCTCCTAATGATCAAAACTGATCATGTTATTGTAATTTAAATTGTATTAGGGTAACTTGTGCTTACATATTGGTTTTGACAGTCACTGCTACCATATTCATTTATATAAAGTTTTGTTTGTTGTGGCTCATTTGCATGAAGTATTAGACATTTTGAAATTAGATGTTGATTTTCATCTCAACTCTATCACTCCTAGTATTCTTAGGAACTTTTAGCTGAAAGAAATGTAAAGCACATAGCCCATTATTTATCACATTGTAAGAATTCAATAATACTTACATTGCTACTTTACTATTTAAAAGGTTCAGAGAATAGGAAGTATACAAAACAAGCTCAGTAAAATTAAAATCATTTAGGATACATTATCATTATTGGTTTTGGGGGGAGAATATTATTTGGGGACTATGGGATGGGAAAGAAAATATAATCAGCAAGTCTTACGTATTCTGTGTATGAGTCATGTTTTATTATACTTTCCATACTTCTTTACTTTCTTTCTTTGGCCAAGCAGTGTTAGTCTGGGATTACTTTCAATTACTGTCATCTTCCTTATAACAATGATGTTAAATTGGATTTTGAATATATTAAAAATTAGAGAGATTAGATTACTAATCTTTGATATATTTTATCTCACAAAATGTATTTAGAGCTGATTAGAGATCACTTAGGGGTATATTATAGAGATATATTGCAGATGTACTTTATACTATGTAGGCCTGGATTAACAGGCTGATAACTAGTAGATAGAAATTATAGCTCTCATTTTACAGCCAAGGACACAGCAAATAAATGAGGTAATCTCATTAAGGAATGTATTACCTCAGCTGTGCTGAGTAATACATAAAATATAATTTATTCAGAGAGGCTAGATGGACAAAGACTCTTTTTGCTTGGCTTTGTACAAAACAGTTCTTTTTGGTGGATTTGGGGAATAGAGAAAGACATGATGAATAGATTTGGTTTGTAGCCTTGACAAATTGCTATTGTCTCCAGAGCAGAGTTTCTCAATTTAAGCACTATTGACATTTTGGACTAGATAATTCTTTGTTGTGGGGGGTCTGGCCCATATACTGTGGGATGTTTAGCCGCATCCCTGGCCTCTGTCTCCTTCATGCCAGTTTTATGCCCACAGGCATAACAAGTAAAAAAGTCTCCAGACACTGCCAAATACCTCTGGTGAGACTTTTGCAAATGCAAAATTTGCCCTGCTTGAGGACCTTTGCACTGAGATCTTTCAAGGATATGGTTCTAGCCACAGTTGTCTCCAGGTTACAGGAGACAGCTGCTATTTTCTCTCTCCCATCTCTAATCAATGCTCCGTCAGGTTCTTAGAGCAACTAATATGGCCTCAGATCTCTCTTCCTCCCCATGTCATAAAAACTGAAGGGAACATTTGAAATGCATGTTAACAAAGAAGCACATTACTCATAAAAAATTTGTGTTGTTAAGAAATGTCCCTTGAGACTTGAGAGTTTGTTCTCAGATGTGTGACCACTTAAGTGTAAGCATTGTGTGTGATCGCCTCAAGTCTGGCTTGGGGTCCAATTTTCTATTTGTATGTCTTTTTCTTTCCTTAGGGTCTTACTGTTGTTGTGAGCTCTGTTCCGAACCAGAACCTAGAAATACAGCCCTATGACCTCAGCATTGATATTTATAGCCGATACATCTACTGGACTTGTGAGGCCACTAATGTCATTAATGTAACAAGATTAGATGGGAGATCAATTGGAGTGGTGCTGAAAGGAGAACAAGACAGACCTCGAGCCATTGTGGTAAACCCAGAGAAAGGGTATGTTATTAAAGTGGTGTTTAGATGTCTTGGAATCTGAGACTCACCATTCCTTTTCAGCCCATTTGTTATTTACCTCTTAAAGTTCTGGACGCTGGGGCCTCCCTGATGGCACAGCGGGTTGAGTGCAGCGCTATGAAGGGGTCCGCAGCCTCTGCAGCGTGGGTTCTATCCCAGCCGGCCGGCGAGAATCCCACATGGCGCACCGGACCTCTCCTGCCATGCCTACTGCTCCCCTCATCAGTGTCTTCAGTCCGTCTGCCTGTTCTGCTCCCTGGTCTGGCTCTGGTGAATTCTTTCACCCTCCCGCGCCTCTGACTGCACCACAGTTCTTATATAAATAAATAAATCTTAAAAAAAAAAAGTTCTGGACTCCAGTGGAAAAAAAAACATACATTTTCCATCCACCTGCCTATGCATTTTCTTATATCTTTGCTTATATCTTCTCTTATTTTACTGTCGAGAATTTCCTTCTAAATAACTATTGCTTTAATTCTAAATTTGACCATTTGAGCTGCCACATTCTTTGAAGTTTTCCTTAATCTGCTTGCCACCAGCCAGATGTGATTTCGCCAACACATCTGTGCATCTAGTTTCACTGAGTCCTTTCCAGTTCACCTTATAATTAATTGTTTTTAAGTCTTATATTTCCTACTAAACTTTAGGTTTTATTATGACAAGAACTGTTAGGTCTTCTTTTATTTACTACAGAGCTTTCTATTGAATATACTTACACAAATAAGTATGCAAATAATCTGAATGAATGATAAGGAATATAGTAGTGTGAATAGTTTACTTCAAAAGAGAAGAAAGAGATAAATGCTGGAAATTAAATATAAGAATTGATTTATATGTGACTTATTTTTAGTTATGAAGTAGACTAATTAAAGAAGGAATTAAGATTTTATGTCCATATCTCTTTGGTTACTATTTTATTTAACCTTTTTTTTTTTTTTTAAAGATTTATTTTATTTATACAAACACTGGGTACAGTCAGAAGCACGGGAGGGTGAGACAATTCACCAGAGCAGGGAGCAGAGCAGGCAGAAGGACCGAAGTACACTGCTGAGGGGAGCAGTGGGCGGCAGGAGAGGTCTGCGCGCCATGCAGGACCCTTTTCTGGTGGCCAGGGAGCAGCCGAGGATTGAACCGGCGCCACAGAGGCTGCGGGCAGCTTCGCAACCCAGCACTCAACCGCTGCGCCACCAGGGAGGCCCTTTATTTAACTTTTTTAATTGCTATGCTTTGTCTTACTAATCCATCAAAGTTAGCTCCCTAACAACTTGTGTTTACCCTTTGTTACTGCTATTGAAAGTATCTCGTGACTTTTAAAATAATGTATTCTAAAATATTTAAAAATACCTCATGTCTTAATCAACAAAAAGTCGTCATTTTGCTGGGTTTCTTATTTTGTTCCTCCTTTCTCTTCAGGTATATGTATTTTACCAATCTTCAGGAAAGGTCTCCCAAAATTGAACGAGCTGCTTTGGATGGAACAGAACGGGAGGTCCTCTTTTTCAGTGGCTTAAGTAAACCAGTTGCTTTGGCTCTTGATAGCAGATTGGGCAAGCTCTTTTGGGCTGATTCAGATCTCCGCCGAATTGAAAGTAGTGATCTTTCAGGTACTTAAATGTATTTCTTAATTTGATTTCAGTATTGAGATGATTCATCATTAGCATTTGTATTTTTCTTTCATTATATTATTTTGGTACATGTTTCTTTACATGTATTCACTAAATGTAATCAGCATCAACTTGGTTGGGGAGCACATTGTCTTCAGCCATCAGTAGGATTACTTCCTCTGTTATCTAATAACTTTCCAGTTTCCTTGATGTGGGCTCTGTAAATAATACAGTACTAATGCATCTCTTTTCCTTCCCTAATTCTTTGCTCTAGTTTATGTTTTTCTTAACATCTCTGGCCTGAATCCACCCTTACTGGATTTTTTCCCTATGAAATTGGGTACACTGTTCCAATATTAATTCCTGAAGTGTGGTTTCTAGTCATATCACTACTGTGCTGAAAAAAATCTTTCAAGTTAGCCTTAAAACTTGAGGGAAAAGGGCCTCCCTGGTGGCACAGCCATTGAGCGCTGGGCTGCGAAGCTGGCCTCAGCCTCTGCACTGCCGGTTTGATGCCTGGCCGCCGGCGAGGGTCCCACATGGCACTACAGACCTCTGCTGCTGCGTCCACTGCTCCCCTCAGCAGTGTATTTCGTCAGGTCTGCCTGTTCTGTTCCCTGCTCTGGCTCTGGTGAATTCTCCCACCCTCCCACGCTTCTGACTGTACCCAGTGCTTATATGTATGTATGTATTTATACATGCATACATACATACATACATACATACATAAATGTTTTTTAAAAAAACCTGAGGGAAAGAAGTCTAGTATGTACACGTACGTTGGTATTCTTTGTTCTCAAAGTCATTAGAGTCAAATCATCTTTACATTATCGGTGCTTTAACCTAATTAAATCATTACTTGGTCTTCAGATCTACTTTTACTTTCTCATATCTCTGCAGTCCTCTGTCTGCAATCATTGTTATCTCTCCTATCCCTAAATATTCTTTATGGCCTCAATAATGATCAGGAAAGTGAAAAGAAAATAACATAGCTTATGTCTGTCAGAGTGACAGAAATATTGTAAAGTGGATTATACCCAACTTTTCCCAGGATGGTAGGAAATGTCATACCCTCATGCACTTTGGTGAAAGTAGAAATTGGTAGAACATTTTTGAAGGGCATTTTGTCAGTAAATTTTCCTTTTAGATAGCTGTCTTACAGAAACACTAGCCCAATTTGTGAGCCTTATTCATAATAGTCTGTCACAGAGAAATGCATTTTAGTATATCCAGTGTATGGAATATTATAGTTATTTAAAAAACATGGTAGATCTGTATGACTGTCATAGAAGGATGATTTTTTTTTTAAAGATTTATTTATTTATGCATGCAAGGGCTGGGACACAGGCCAGAGATGCAGGGGAGTGAGAGGATTCACCAGAGACAGAGCGGGGAACACAATAGGCAGACTGACTGAAATACACTGCTGAGGGAAGCAGCAGGCGAGACAGGAAAGGTCTGCTTCGCCATGTGGGTTGCTCCCTGGCCGGCCGGGGATCGAACTCATGCTGCAGGGCCTGTGGATTGCTTCATAGTGTGGTGCTTAACCCCTTGCACCACCAGGGAGACCCCAGAAGGATGATTTTTTAAAATTTTAAGTTGTGTAACAATATTTTGTTTAAAATTTAAAACTATAGTATATGTTATATATAGTATATAATACATAGTATATATTACATATAACTATATAAACTGGGTTTTTTTTATATGTGTGTGTTTATATATAGAATGCTATATTGTATGCTGGCAAATTGCCCTTCAAAAATATATGTACATGCACTGTGTATATATATTAAGAAACATGAATATAATGTTGGTGATAAAATGTGCCTTGAGAAAGTTCTGTAAGAGTTGCACACTAAAATATTAAGAGCATTTTTGTATCACTTGGATTTTTATGTTTTTGAATTTACGTAAGTTTTTTGGAAAAAAATTAAGAAATGATATCTTTTTGGGTTCAAATGTTTCCCTTTATGTCTTCTCTGATTTTAAACAGTTGTGTGTACACAAACACACACACACACACGTTTTTGTACATTCCTGGTGTGGTATATTGTTTCCCTAATCTGATCACCTACATCTCTTATATCACCATGAATTTTATAATAGTTATTTATATCAGTACTTTAACTCCAATTTATATTTAACATGGGTATTTCCCCTTTTTATCTCTCTGCATTTATGTGTTTACTTTTCATTTTTAAATACAGCACATGTTCATTAAAAGACAGTTTAGAGGGCCTCCCGGGTGGCGCAGCGGTTGAGCGCTGGGTTGAGAAGCTGCCCGCAGCCTCTGCAGCACCGGTTCGATCCCCGGCTTCTCCCCAGCCACTGGAGGAGGGTCCCACATGGTGCGCAGACCTCTCCAGCCGCCCGCTGCTCCCCTCAGCAATGTACTTGGGTCCTTCTGCCTGCTTTGCTCCCTGCTCTGGCTCTGGTGAATTCTCTCACCCTCCCGTGCGTCTGACTGTACCCAGTGCTTGTATAAATAAATAAATAAATCTTTAAAAAAAAAAAAAAAAAAGACAGTTTAGAAATTTAAAAAAGAAATTCAAAACACTATTATTACACTTCAAAGAATTAATTTGTTTTTCTTTATACTTTCTTATACCCTTACTCATGAAATGTTTCCAACATATGGAAGATACAGTGTTCCTACTCTCCAGCACTGTCAAATCTTAGTGTTTTTGCCATATTTGCTTTTGGACTTATCTACCTTCTCCTTTCACTTGAAATAAAACATTAGAGAGTAATTTGAAATCCTTTGACTCTTTCCTAATTCTGTTCTCCATTTCCAGAAGTTACTTTTCATGTTTTTCTTTGCCATGCATATTTTGCTTTGTGTTTGTGTCTTTTACTACACACACGCACACACACTTTAAACCTTTTTAAAACTTTATATAAATATTCTCATCTTTTCTTTTGTAGCTTGCTTCTTTTCAGATTGATAATGGTTTTAATATGTCCCCTTTGATCCACAACTCCTATACCATTTGTTTTCAATGCTAGTTAGTATTTCATTGCATGAGCATTCTACAGTTTGTCTATTCTGCTGCCTACCTAAACTGCTGTTTCCATTTTTTAATCTTAAAAGCAGTGATGCATGATTATTCTTATACTCACATTGTGTAATATGGTAGGTATATATATTAGCTTCAGTAGATCTATCCATATTATTTTCCAAAGTGATTCTATCTATTTATTTTTAAAGATTTATTTATTTATGCATTGATACTTCTGTACAGGCCAGAGGTGCGGGGGTGGGGGGTGACGGGGAGGCAGGCAGGTAAGAGGGTTCACCAGAGACAGAGTACGCAGACTGACTGAAATACACTGCTGAGGGGAGCAGTGGGAGAGGCAGGAGAGGTCTGCTGCGCCATAGGGGTTGCTGGCCAGTGGGGGATTGAACTTGTGCTGCAGAGACTGCGGATTGTTTCATAGTGCGGATTGTTTCATAGTGCGGCGCTTAACCCCTTGCGCCACCAGGTAGGCCCCCATGTACATTTTAGAATCAGTTTCTGAGTTTCCACCAAAAAAAGACAAATCTGCTCTTGATTTTTTTTTTTTTTTTTAAATAGAGGCATGTTTTATTTATTTGTTTGTTTGTTTGTTTGTTTTGTTTATACATGCACTGGGTACAGTCAGAAGCGCGGGAGGGTGAGAGAATTCACCAGAGCCAGAGCGGGGAGCACAGCAGGCAGAAGGACCGAAGTACACTGCTGAGGGGAGCAGCGGGCGGCAGGAGAGGTCTGCGCGCCATGTGGGACCCTCCTCTGGTGGCTGGGGAGCAGCCGGGGATCGAACCGGCGCCGCCGAGGCTGCGGGCAGCTTCACAACCCAGCGCTCAACCGCTGCGCCACCGGGGAGGCCCTGCTCTTGATTTTGACTGGGTTTACTTTGAATTTCTAAGCCAGTGTGGGGAGAATTCTTTTTAATGATCAGTTCTTCAGACCCTGAACATGGCAGAACCCTCCTTGATTGAGAACTTTAATTTCCCTCAGTGTTTCATAGTTTTGTGTATAAATGTCTTACCCCTCACTATTAGAGTTATTCTTGGTATTTGATGCTAATGGTGAAGAATAGTCTAAATTAAATATTTCATCATCTATCTGTGACTGGAAGAGAGAAAAGAGGTTTCTTTCTCTGCCTTCTTTGCTATATTGAGCTTATACCCAGAAACTTTGCTAAATTCTTTGATCTGTTGTTTCTACATTCCAGAATCTGTTGTCTACAAATAATCACAGTTTTATTTTACCTTTTCCAGCCCCTTTTCTTTGCCTTTTAACACTGGCTAGGACCCCCAGTACAATGTTGAATAGAATAAGAGAATCTTTGTATTTTTTTGTTTGTTGGTTTTTGTTTTTCTTGATTTTGAAAATCATGATTTTATACTTAATGAATAGGTATTATGTTTGCTAAAGTTTTTCTGTAGATAGCCATTTTTTTAAAATCAGATTAGGAAAGTTCCCTTCTGTTCCTTGTTTGCTAGGATAAATCAGATTTGGCATGATACATTATCCTTTTCATATAATGCTGGATTTGACTTCCACTGTTTTGTTAAAGATGTTTATTTACATCTGTATTCATGAGAAAGGCTACCCTGGAACTTTCCTTTCTTATGTACTTGTTTTGCCATCAGGTTGTGTTGGCCTCTTGAAAAGGAATGTTTCCTTTTTTCTCTTTTAATGTAATTAGGTTAGTGTAATGTAATGTTAGTGGGTTTTTTAATTTCTTATATATTCACAGAAAATTGTGCACTTTTTTTCATGGACTCTCTTTCCACTTCATATTTTTAGCCTCCTGCAGAGCTTTTTACAATGGATTGCATTTAGTGCGTGCTTAGTTTATTGAATAGATAAGCATGTCTTTTCATTGTTGGTTCCAGTGTTCTGCTTATACCCTTTCTATCACTGCCATCAAAGTAGATCAGGTCTTCATCATCTTTGGGGTCCTGCAGAGACACTGCGACACTCTTCTGCTGCCATAATCACTCCTATTATATTACTGTTTAATTTTTTTAGACAGTGGTTTTTATTGTTTATTTTTTAAATTATGTTTATTGATGTACAATTGGTTTACATTGTTGTATCTGCTTTGGAGGTTGTAGGTTTAAACCTCTATAAATGTATATTTCCATGCCATGCCCATCACCAGTGTCCCAATAATCCTCCACCATGTTCCATTGGACTCCTTCCTTCCCCACTGCCACTCTGCTACCCTCCCCTTCTTGACTGCCTCAATTTTGCAATCAGATGTCAAGAGTTTCTAACTGGTTTTGTTTCCACTATCCCTTTGTTTCTCATATTAGCGAGACCATCCAGTATTTGGCTTTCTCTTTCTGGCTTATTTTGTTTCACATCATCCTCTTGACTTCCATTCATGTTGACACAAATGGCAAGAGTTTATTTTATCACTGAGTAGTATTCCACTGTACACCAACACACAATTTAAAAAAAAAAATGTGTATTTATTCACACCACATTATTCTGATCCACTCCTTTGACCTTGGGCACTTAAGTTGTTTCCATAACTTGGCTATTGTAAATAGGACTGCAGTGAACATAGAAGTACTTACATCTCTTCCAATTAATGTTTTGTATTTTTCCTCGATACTTAAAAGTAGATTTGCTGGGTCATACAGTACATCTATTTTTAGTGTTTTGAGGAGGAGCACTTAATTTTCATTAAAGTAATACCTTTAAATATGTAAATCAAATGGCTTCTTGGCTTATAACAGGAAGTACTGCTCTTCTCTTTCCTATTCTCAGTTCCCAACCTCAGGCGTCCACATTCAGATATTCTAAAATAAGATGCTTGCAACTGCTATTTCTTGATTTTTTTCCATTTTTGACATTGTAAGTTGACTTTCTGATGAAGATATATTTTGCTATCTTCCAGTCTTCTGTATGAAGATAAAAACTGGATGCTGTATTCCTGGAGTCTGATAGGAGAAGGGTTTTGGGAGACTCACCAATTAGAAAATAGAATTTTAGGTAATTCTGTAAAATCCCATGAATAGCATTGTACTCTATGTCTTTGCTTGGTTTGTTAAGTCTGGTTCTAGCACTTAAAAAAAGTGTATCTGCAGTCTTCTGCTAGAGAAATGGAGGAGATACAACCAGGACTCTTCTTTTAGCACCAGCCATGTGACTCCTTCCTTTGCTCCCCTCCCAAGTACTTGGTGACCTAGTTCCTGAGGTGATCGGTTTTGTTACTGATTTCACTGACTGCAGGCGTGTAGCTTTCTCTCAGTTCCTATGTGATGATCTCTGGTCTGTCCTCCAACTTCTAAATTTCATCACTTTTCTCTGCTTCTGTCCTACTTGTCCTTGTTTTCATGTCTTAATTGTAATGCCATTTTAGTATATTTTCAGAAGGAAGCATAAGTATACTTGTATTTAACCCCACAGATTTGAATGTTCACTTAGTGAATGCCTTCTCATCTGGAGTAGCTCCCTGCTTTCCTCCATTTATTGAAACTTAGCTTTATGTTTGTCTCTTTCCTGGAATCTCCTCTGACATTTCCAAAGTATAAGCTATTGCCTTTCTTTGAATTCATTACTTACGAACCATGAAAATATATATTTGAAGGCCTATTACGAAGAGGAGAAAATGTATTTTTTTCTCTTTCAGGGAGAAACTATAGGGATGAGGATTGGGAGTATAGATTTCAGCACAGTATGTGAAAGAACTTTATATTAGTCTGGATGGCTCTGTGTGGGGATGTTGTAGGAAGAATTCTTACTTTGAGGTGCGCCTTGACCCAGGTAACCTCTGAGTCAGCCATTTTTCCTCAGTCTAGGTAGCCAGGTGGTATGAGGGTGGAGTTGTTCATTGCTTATGCCTTTGGTGAGTGGGGGAGGCCCAGAGCACAGTTCTCTGGACTGGTTCCCTCTGCTTCCTCTAGAGAAACACCATATTTATTTGTTTTACATGTTAAGAATTTTTCATAAAATTTAATTTTAAAAATAGACCCTGCACATTTGAAAACTGCTCTAAGTACCTTTCTATGAACTTGGCATTCCTTAATGTTAGCACTTTGCTTTTGACTGTGCCTGAGTGTTTACTCTGTTATCTTTTTTCTGGTATGTATATATCTTTTCTTAGAATGTTTTTAAGTTCTATGGTAGAAAGCTTACCTCCTTTCCTTTTCAATACTTTTACAATCTTTAACTGATAATAATCATTGAATCGTTTCTGTTGAATGTTCTGTTTTCCAAGGTGCCAACCGAATAGTGTTAGAAGACTCCAATATTTTGCAGCCAGTGGGACTGACTGTGTTTGAAAACTGGCTATATTGGATTGATAAACAGCAGCAAATGATTGAAAAAATTGACATGACAGGTCGAGAGGGTAGAACCAAAGTCCAGGCTCGAATTGCCCAGCTTAGTGACATTCATGCAGTGAAAGAACTGAATCTTCAGGAATACAGTAAGTGCTATTGGGGTATGCTTATTATAGGATTTGAGTTTATCATAAGAAATTAAGATAGAATTAAAGGTTCTTTTGTGTTTCTTACCTCTTCAAGATTTTTATGCACTTTCAGTTTTGCCTTTAAAAAAAAAACCCACTTATGTCAAACTGACCTGGGAGCTTTTTCAAATTAAATGTCTTTTCCCTGCAAAAACAGATATTGACAGGAAGGTATGGGCTTGCTCATTTTCAAATTTCCCCAGGTTGGACAGACTCTGCTTCTCATGGCAACTTTTTATTTCTTTCAGTCCCTTTCAAAATAAAGCACATATTTCTTTTGTTTCCTTATACCTACCATAGGTGGAACAAAAGCAGAATAATTATATTTATAGAATGATAAATGTAATATCATGGAATAACCTTATTCTTAAGCAATAACAAAGCAAACTAAAAATCAGTGTGTCCTTAAGTGCTTGTTTTTTACCTTTTTGGATACGTTTCAATCCTCTGCTTATAAAAGTAACCAAAATATTTGCTTTTATCCTAGTGAGACCTTTTAAAAATGGCTAATTATCTTGACTTAGTTACTTGTTAATATGTGCTATAATCAAAGATACCATCACTACTATAGCCATAATATGATAGTACCTGGAATGCTAATGTTAAATGGAGGCATATAAGAGAGAGCTTTTGAAACGCCTTAACTTCTCACTATAAAGTTTTAAATGAAATTGGAGTATGGAAGGAGAGAAGAGAAATGAGGGTAACATTGCTTGTTCAATGTTGTCACTGTGTGTGATCTTAGGAGTTAAGTTAGAAGGATTTGAGAATTGGAAAGTTGGAAGTGTTCTGTTACATTTATCTCATGCTGAGATTTTTATAGAAATAAGGTAGTAGATACATAGTACCTAAGCTATTAAATTGATATATGAGTATTTTATTGCAGAAAGTCTCAGCAGATATTCAGAATTCAGAAGTGGTATCTTTTTATATAATTCAATATTTAGTTATGTTTTAATAGTTCAAAAAAAATTTTCAAATTTCTAATGATATTCAGGAAATAAGAGTCTTGTTTATCAAAAGTGTCATGGAATGAAAATGTTGAAACTGCTGTATGGGCTATGTCTTTTTTGGGATACCTATGTTGTCATAAAGCACATCTGTTGATATAGATAGAGCGCCTGCTCTCTCAATCTCATCAGCACACTCTGAAGCAGAACTGATGCATTATTATAGAGGAGAGGCAGATAATGAATAGGTGGCTACATTAGATGTTGGTGATGACAAATGGCAATTTGCTTTTTAATACAAGCTAATAGAAAATTCAAATCAAATGTATTTGATTTCATTAAGTATAATTTGTCAGACAAGCTTTACAAGTAATTTAAACCAAGTATGTGGAAATTAGGCGTTTGTAACATTGCAGGTTATCTTTTGCAGTTAACCAAGCAAATAATTTTGGTTGTCTCTGAATGATGAGTTTCATATCACCTTAGGATTTTTCTTCGAAAACTTTAAAATTTTTCAGTGAATTTCTCATTAAAATGTACTTTTTTGAGTAAAGTCATCTTTCAGAAAAGAGAACTTGAGTTAAAATCTTGAGTTTAGGAAAGTTTTAATATTCTAAATAGAATAATATCCAAGTCCCATCATCCTCCCTAACAGTTTTTTTAGTTACAGCAATCAGCTTTTCTTATTCACAAAAATTAACATGAGTTGTACTATTAGCTTGCTTAAGATACTTGTTATTTGTTGATATTTAGTAGATATATAAATATGTGGTTAGGCACAAGTATACTGTGTTTTGAAGTTGTCCTCATTTTCTTATAGATTGTATAGGGATGAAGTGAGGAATTGTATGAAAATCAAGTCTAAGGTGACCTCATACTTAATTTCTTTGATAATTCATATGCAGTTGATTTTGACTGGGTTTTTCTTATCTTTTGCAGGACAACATCCTTGTGCTCAGGATAATGGTGGCTGTTCACATATTTGCCTTGTAAAAGGAGATGGTACTACAAGGTGCTCTTGCCCTATGCACTTGGTTCTGCTTCAAGATGAGCTATCATGTGGAGGTAAAGATTTCATTTTATTGTGTGGGTATAAGTGCCAGTTAACTTGGTCTGTCAGTTAATCTAGCATTCTGAGATTTGGCAGTGAAATTGCTTTCTCCTAACTTTATTGGTCACTTCTATTCCATTCATCTGTACTCTTTGAGGCATTTGAACTAAGAGTAAATCCATCTTGACAGAAGAGCCCTTTTTGGCTCTCAGAAGAAAGTGGTATTATGGGGGAAACTCATCTTGTGAGTGTGTTCCCTAATAAAAAAGTTGCTTTTTCCATCCCTAGAGGGTAACAAGAAGAAATCATTTTACTTCCTATAATGTCCAGGCACTGGATTCTGGATTCTGCCAATTTATGTACCCAGTGAAAAGAATATTGTTTTGTTCCGAACCATCAGCATTTTCCTGGTTTTTTCTTTTTTTATTTACATAGCCAAAAAAATATATATATATATTGTTCAGATACCACTGGATAGTAAAAATGTTGTAGTGAAATTGGTTCATTTACCTGTGGGGCTAAAACATATTGGTATATTCATTTGCTAAAGCATAGTATGGTACCATTAAACACCAAAATATTCATTCCCTTAATTCAGATATCTTCTTCTTGGGAATAATTCTAATTTAATTCAATTGAAGGATAAAGACTGTCCTTTACAGTAGCAGACATTTAAAAACAACATGATTTTTTTTAAAAAAGATTTGTTTATTTATTTATACAAGCACTGGGTACAGTCAGAAGCGTGGGAGGGTGAGAGAATCCACCAGAGCCGGAGCGGGAAGCAGAACAGGCAGACTGACGAAGTACACTGCTGAGGGGAGCAGCGGGCACAGCAGGAGAGGTCTGCGCATCATGTGGGACCCTTGCCGGTGGCCGGGGATCGAACTGGCGCTGCAGAGGCTGTGGGCAGCTTCACAACCCAGCGCTCAACCGCTGCGCCACCGGGGAGGCCCAAAAAAACAACATGATTTTAATTAACAGGAAAATTTAAGTAAAATAACTGAATTTATGCAGCTATTAAACGTATGATCATATCAGATGTGAAAGTGTAGTCAAAGTTTGTCTCAAGTTTGTGTCAAAAAAGTATTAAAATAGTGTGATGGCAATTACATTACTTACTTATTTCCATGCACAAAGATGACATATACCCTTAGAATATAAAAATTGATTAATATTGTGTTATGTGATATTTTATTCTAACTTCTAAGGTTTGTTTTTTTTTTTTTTTTTTTTTTAATAACACTAAGTAACAGATGTGAGGCACTCTGCTTGGGCTATAAGACATTTGAAGATTTTTACTATGAAATGTACAATTTAGTTGGATAGATCAGGTGTGCATCCCATGAAAAAGCAATGTGAATGTACTTAATGCCACTGAACTATACAGTCACTTTAAAATGGTTCACATGGAAAATTTCATGTTAGGTATCTTTTACCACAATTTAAAAAATTGCAAGGGCTTCCCCAGTGGCGCAGGGTTTAAAGACACAGTGCTATCAAGCTATTGCCAGCCTCTAAAGCACCATCCAGCTGGCCAGGGAGCTAACCCACATGACCAGCAGACCTCTCCTGCCTCACCTCCTGCTCCCCTCAGCAGTGTATATCAGTAGATCGGCCTGTTCTGCTCCCTACTCTGTCTCTGGTGAATCCCCTCACCCCCACACCTCTGGCTTACACCCCAGTTCTTGTATGCATAAATAAATAAACCTTAAAAAAAATTTACAAGTTTTACATGTCAAGGTGTCAGATTGTTACTCTAATAAGCAAATCCTAGAATAATTTAATGATAATGTAGAAAATACTGAATCAAAGATACTACCTTCCATTTAGAAAGTGTCTTAAGAGACTTGATTTTTTTTTTTCACATTTAGCGATTTTTAGTGCACTTTAACAAACTTAAACAGTTCCCGTCACCAACACCCAAATGAAGACATACAATTGTTAAAAAAAAAGGGCCCTTGTATCTGCTAGCAGCCAATTCTCCTAGAAATAACTACTATTTTGGTTTTATCCCTGTGGTTTAGTGTTGCCTGTTCTTGAACTTTATTTAACTGTAATCATGACATATGTACTCTTTTTTTACTATTTTTGTGATTCAGCTGTGTAGTGGAGTGCATTAGTAGTTTTTATTACTGAGTAGTATTTCATTTTGTAAATATGCCACATTTTATTCTTGAGGGAAATTTTAGTTTGAAATTTTTGTGATTAAGAATAAAAAGTGCAGTGTATGTTTGTGTGTATGATTTATTTGTTATTTAATACTGACTTTACAGTGGAGCTAATGAAATGCAGAATCTAAATTCCTTTACCTGACCTTCAAGACATGTTTTCACTTGAGCCTGTTTTCCTGTCTATCTTAGTTTCTCAACTTGCTCGCTTTAGTTTTGTTGGCTGTTTCTAGTTTGGTGATTACCATAGCATGTTTTTTGTTTTTGTCTCCCTGGCTTTACGTGTGGTGTTTCAGGGATGTAGCTCTCTTTTTGCATGATCATGTTAATTTGACTAACATTCCGGGGTGCAGGCTGTCTCCTCATGATCTTTACTAGCTATTTTTGGTCTCTCCTTTCTCTGAATTGTAGCACTTTTATAACCATTTGCATCACATGCAGGTCAGAGTAAGACAAAAATCTGTTTTATATTGAGCAGTCTTTACATATCCCAACCAAATGAAAAACTCCTTAAAGCTATGGACCATATTTTATCTACTTCAGTTCTCTGAACAACCTAATATAGTAGTGAATGCATAATAGGCTCAAATTCTTTATGCAAATAATCTCAAATTTCCCATGTAAAATGTTCTCCTGTAAATCTTCAATATTTTCTGTTTTAATGTTAAAAGGGTTTCTGATCCATAATGATGTGCTAAAGTTGTATTCTGTACAAGTTTTTAAAATAACTCGTTTAGGGCCTCCCTGTTGGTGCAGGGGTTAAAGTCTCAGCACTAGCAAGCTATTGCTAGCTACTGCGGCATGAGTTTGATCCCCGGTCAGAGAACTGACCCACATGGCACGGCAGACCTCCCTCAGCAGTGTATTTCAATAGATCTGCCTGTTCTGCTCCCCACCCTGTCTCTGGTGAATCCTCTCACCCCCTGCACCTCTGGCCTACCCCCCAGTTCTTGTAAACATAAATAAAAACTTTAAAAAAAAAAAATTCATTAGGCATGTGATACAGTAGTAAAGCAGTGGACAGTGGTTAGTAAAGCAGTGGTTAGTCTTGCTTGGGCTTCCCCCCCCTATAATCAACTCTTGTTTATAGAAAGTTCTGTGACTTTGGGCAGTCACTGAGCCCCTCTCAAGCTCAGTTTCCTTCTTTGTAATACACAGACATTGGACTTGAATCACAGTTCTCAAATTGTTGATCTCAGCTTATTTTTACACTTTAAAAACTTACGGAGGGCAACTCTCCTGCCACCTATTACTACACAGGTGCCTCTCTTTTTCTCCTTTTCCTAATAAACCTGTCCTTTTAAAATGTAAAAAATAAAGAAATAAATAAAAATAAAAAACAAATTAAAAATTAATGAGGACCCCAAGAGCTCTTTTTTTATAGGTAGTATTTATTTGTACAGATTGTACTAAATTTAAAACCAAGAACATCAAAAGTTATTCATTAAGAAATCATAATAACAAGCCTTTACATGTTCTCAAGTGAAATCTGTTTTAAAAAATTAACTATTTTCGGGCCTCCCCGGTGGCGCAGCGGTTGAGCGCTGGGTTGCGAAGCTGCCCGCAGCCTCTGCTGTGCCGGTTCGATCCCCGGCTGCTCCCCGGCCACCGGAGGAGGGTCCCACATGGTGTGCAGTCCTCTCCTGGCGCCCGCTGCTCCCCTCAGCAGTGTACTTCGGTCCTTCTGCCTGCTCTGCTCCCCGCTCTTGCTCTGGTGAATTCTCTCACCCTCCCGCGCTTCTGACTATACCCAGTGCATGTATAAACAAAAAAACAAACAAACAGACAAATAAATAAATAAATAAATACATGCCATTAAAAAAAAAATTAACTATTTTCTAAAGCAAAATAGAGATAAGTTTATCATTGTTACAATGTTTCTTTAATCTTTTTAATATTGGTCTGAATTCTCATGTTAACTTGTATTCAGTCTATTGTAATATATTAGTCCTATATTAAAATTTGTTCATCTGTTTTGTGCTCTGAATGGATGATATTTTGCCCATGTGTGATTTTGTGAACTTGAGCTTTGTTCATTTGGAGAAATTAGAATTTTGTTCAGAAATTCTCAGATCTTTAGATTTTTGATGCATTTCATTATACAATATAAAAATCACTTTAATATCACTACCAGTCTCATCAGCAAAACAAGTACTATAGGTCTGTCAGGTTTACAGTGTAAGGTACAGGTTTTCCAAGATTATAATTTCTGAATGAAAGCTTTAGTATTACATTTTGCCATAAAGTACAATGGTATGATTTGTCATTGTTTTCTTCAAAGTAACATATTCACTGCTTATTCAAAAAAATTCCTGCTAGATACCCAGGTATAGATAATTATAGTTTATCTGTCAGGTTTTTTTTTGTTTTGTTTTAATAAAAATGGTATTTCATTCTGGATTGAGTTACAACCCAAAGTGCATTCCCTTGAGAAATCATTGTACTTAGGTGTGCAGCATGAGTTATAAACATACTTCCTATTTTATCAAACAGAATACTAAAGTGACTTATACAAAAGGTTGGTTTTTAAATATAACTTTTCAGTTGATTTTTTTTTAAACTATGGAGTTGTATGGCTGTGTAGAATGCAATGACTACTAGTACAATTTAGTACCATTGTGTTGGTCTCTAAGGTGCCAACAGTATTAACCACCATTTCTTTTGTGGCACCAGTGCAAATGCTGTGAGAATGGCACGTGACATCTACATATTATTCTAAAATAATTTTGACGTATGAATCTCCTGAAAAAAGTCTTGGGACTCCCATGGATTAATGGGTCACTTTTTGAGAACCTCAAAGCTAAAACTTAGGAATTCTAGGCTAATTTAAAATATATGGAGGTTGATGATGTAGTGCTTATCCTAAGATACATATGAAATTATAAAGGATTGCAAATATAATAATCCTACTTGAATTACAATATGAGAAAGCTTCTTCCTTACATTTTGCAAGATAGTGAATATAAATGAAGTAGTATAAAAATTGTGCCTTTTTTCTAATTAGACGAGGTAGTTTACAAATTATATCTATTATAAAGTGTTTTGTATCTGTTAATTATTAAATGTGCTTTACTTGGGTGTGTTTGTTCTTCTGCTGACTATTATGTGTTTTTGTTACTCCCTCTGCCTGTTTACCTGAAGAACCCCCAACATGTTCTCCGCAGCAGTTTACTTGTTTCACGGGGGAAATTGACTGTATCCCTGTGGCTTGGAGGTGCGATGGGTTTACTGAATGTGAAGACCACAGTGATGAGCTAAATTGTCCTGTCTGCTCAGAGTCCCAGTTCCAGTGTGCCAGCGGGCAGTGTATCGACGGTGCCCTCCGATGCAATGGAGATGCAAACTGTCAGGATAAATCAGATGAGAAGAACTGTGAAGGTATCCAAATGGTTATGTAGTTCTTTTTCTGTTAAGTTGTTTGAAATTCATAGTATTACTTTGACTCAGTGGTAGATTTAGAGTTGTTCACGTACATTGTACTTTATTATGTTTTAAGCGTAGTAGCATTTTCAAATTACTGTTTTAATTCACTTAATGTGCATAAGGCTTGCACATGTTAATAAACTTTGAAAATTGAGAAATGTGGCCAAAGCATTAGACCTCCAGTATATAAAAATAGTTCTCCTTTCCACTGAAGTTAGAACTGTTGGGTTTGTTTATTATAGTTTAGGATAGTTTTCTTATGTTCTGCTTTATTCTACTAACCTCTAACATTGCTTCAAAAAAAAAAAAAAAAAAAAAAACTACAGCCAAGCAAATCAGCAGGTTTTCTAGATAATTTTTCAATGTCTAGAAATGCATGTAAAATTTTTTAATTCCTTAATAGAATTATCTGTATAAAATGATTTGTAATGCAAAAAACAAAATGGGAAATTTCCTGTTGAATTCTTTTTTCTACTCTTTTCTATCAATGGAAATACCCAGAGAATAATTTTTAAGTTCTATCTAAAAGCACTTTTTGACCCTTGCCAGAGATTGACTTTACATGATAGTAAAAATAAGAAAACTGTTCGCATTTTTTCCCCAGTGCTTTGTTTAATTGATCAGTTCCGCTGTGCCAATGGGCAGTGCATTGGAAAACACAAGAAATGTGATCATAACGTGGATTGCAGTGATAAATCAGATGAACTGGATTGTTGTAAGTAGTAATAACCTTGGGTACTACCCTTGAGAATTTTAATAATAATTTTAATGTGTAATGTTCACTTATAGTCAATATTTCCTTATTAATAAAAAAGTATTAATATTAAGCTAATTATTTGTAGCAGGAGTTTTGTTTTATTTTTAATATTTTTTTAAAGACTGCTGCTTTTTTATACACTGAAAAATTTCCACAGAAACATTTAGTAAAACATTAGAAAAGAATAATCACTTTTTGCCACAACAAAAGTTCAGATACATGGAAATCAACTAGTGGTCTAAACTTAGTTTCTGAACATTAGTTGATATTTAGTGGTCTCCCTTATTTTTATTGATGTGTTTCCAACAGTTTGTTGGTGACTTTGGTTGCTTCCATAAAATGAAACTTGAGGATACTTGGGCCAGTTTTTAACCCTTAGGCCTGGAGACCCTAGACCGAAGAGCCTACAGTTTATCAAGGTTCATGACTACTACCAATACCCTGACATAAAATATAGCCCAAATTCAGAAACTTAATACTGAATGTAATTAAGCCAAATTTACCCTGTCAGAACTGATTTAATAGAATTTTAGTTAAAGGTCATTTAAAAACCCTTAATATACTTTCAGATGGCATTTTTACAAAATTCAAGTGGAATATCCACTAATACTTTTAGGATCCATTCATTTATTCAACAGATTGAATACCTGCTGTGTGCTGAGGACATAGTACCTGCACCAAGTTTCTCAAAGTCCTCTGTGGTTGAGTTAGTAGAAAGATAGCAGTTTCAAAGCCAGGCAGAGACGGATGTGAATCATAGTGCCACTTCTTACAAGCACTTTATTTGGTCTTGATCAACCATAGTATCTTCATCTTTAAAGTTAATAATATTTGTCCTGGTGCTTATAAAAATATTCATTGATAATATGTATAAAACATATAGCTTGGCTTATGATAGCTATTATTAATGAAGGAATGGGATAAGTGATATTAAATGTGTGATAATAGATCTTTAAACTAGTAGTAGCACAAAGGAGAGAACAATCAAATCCTAGGAAAAAAGATAAAGTTCATAAAGGACGATTTCTTAGGAAAAAAGTGTTAAATGGGGTGTTGATCAATACATAGTATTAATTTTGCACATACGCAGAGACACTGTATTCTAGGCAGAGGGAATACCCTGTTGAAAAGCAGAACGCATCAGGAACCTTTGGGAAACTACTTATAAATGGAGCTACCAAAACATAGGCTACATCTTGAAGGCTGTCACATATAGCATACATAAAAGTAAAATCATAAAGGACTTTGCTTTTCATCTGAAGAGGCTACACAGTATTCCAGACAATGGAGAATCTTTGACGAGCTTAAGATTGGCATGGCTGCATGATTATGAAAGCTGTAAAGCAGACGCATTGGAGGTGATAAGATTATTGGCAGGGAAATCGGTTAGATTGGTTGCTTTCAAACTTTTTGACCACATCAAAAGATATGTAAAGATGTGGGTGTACACATAAAGGAACAAAACTGCCATGCAACAGTGTTTACTCCCATTATGTAGTGTGTATTCTGACATTGCCTATTTTTAAATGCTGGTTGCACCCCATTAAATTGTTTTCAACATCTAATGACTTGCAGCCTATAATTTAAAAATGATTAGGAGACTATTGTAGTTCAGGTAGAAGATGAAGATTTAAATCAAAAGGAGCAGTGGTGTGGAAAGGAGGCAATAGGTTTCAGAGTTATATCAAAATATAATAAAAAGTGTTTGGTAACTACTGGCTATAGTTGATAGGTTTAGGTTCACTCACATACACCATTGAGTGACGGGTCATTAACTAGAATATAGAACAGAGTTTGAAAACTGAAGTAGTACCATTGTACATCTTGACTTCAGATGAATGTTTGGCCACTGTAGATTTTAATTTATTTCTATTTTAAATTTAATTTAAATGCCTTTAATTCGCCATAGCACCATCATTTATTTATGATTGGCTTTGCCCCTGGAATCAAGGAAAAATGACAGAATATGGTGACTGTTCACTTTGGGCGTGAAGTTGCCTGTGGGGTATCCTGTTGAAGCTGTTTAGAGAGTTGTTGGCTACATGGGTCTGCAGCTCAAGAGGAGATTTGAGCTCTTCAGTTTATTAATTCCAAAGCTGAGGCAGTGGGTGAAATCTCCCAGAGAGTAAGTAGAGGAAGAAAAAGGCAAGTGGCAGACAGAGCTGTGGGAAGCACCTGCACTTAAAGGGTTATGTGGATAGAAAATCTGAGATAAAATGGAGTTGAAGGAAGGTTTTTAATTCAGGCTTTCACCTGAGTTATAGTCATTCAGAATGGAAGGATTTTCCCTCTTAACAGAAGAGCAGTGCTCTAATTTGATGAGCTGGTTTGCTGTTTCCTGCTGTCTGTAACATTGATGTTCCCTGCTTCTAAGGCCTCAGATAGCCCAGAGGTTGGGTGAAGGTAGATGCTATGGGCAGGGTCTTTCTCTAGAGCTCTGTCCTTTCTTTTTGAGTCTTCAAGTTCTCTGGTCTCAGACTTTGTGTTCCTGGCCCTCAGCTAAACTCACCCTAAAGGCAACAGCCTATTGGGCCTGAGAACTGATGCTCATCTTTAGCTTTTCATTTCCCTTGCCAGGCCGAAATGTCACTTTGCAAATCTAAAATCAAGCTCTGGGCTGCTTTTGGCTTCCTCACAATTCCAGGTAGAACATTTGATAACTTTCTAGGCTCTTCCATCTGGCTCAAAAATTTTGCCTGCGATTCCAAAATAACCTTGTTGATTGTTACATGATATGTAGAATAAAGTCGGATAGATTTTATTTATTTATGTATTTAAATCTTTATAATGGTATTTAAATCTCTAATTCCCTTAACATCTTTTTCCCATTAATTTATAATTATACTTCCCAATGTGTTTTATTTCTGTCTTCACTTAAGGATAGTTTGCTTTAATTCCTAATGATGATGTTATCCATATAACCATGGGTCATGGTATCGACATACTTATTTTTAAAAATGGAGTTATCTTGATTAGCCTCACATTTTGATAGATGTCCCATTTTTTATTGCCTTTTTTTCAAGTCTACATTTATTTTTCTGTTATGTAACTCCACTGTATTTTCTATTTTTAGACCCAACTGAGGAGCCAGCACCACAGGCCACCAATACAGTTGGCTCAGTTATTGGAGTAATTGTCACCATTTTTGTATCTGGAACCATATACTTTATCTGCCAGAGGATGTTGTGTCCACGTATGAAGGGAGATGGGGAAACCATGACTAATGACTATGTAGTTCATGGACCAGCTTCTGTGCCCCTTGGTTATGTGCCACACCCAAGTTCTTTGTCAGGATCTCTTCCAGGTGAGTTTATCCATTGAGAATCAAGTCTTAGGTTCTGGCAAGATTGCCAAGTTTCTATTATGGAAAATGGATAACGCCTAAATTCCACTTCAAACTGAACTGCTTTGGGCCTCCCTGGTGGCCTAGGGGTTAAATCTCAGCACTGTCACCCTATCACCACTAAGGCCTGAGTTGGATCTCTGGCCAGGAAGCTGACCCACATATGACTCAGCAGACTTCTCTTTTTCGCGCCTGCTGCTCCTCTCTTTTTTGCGCCTGCTGCTCCCCTCCGAGGTGTATTTCAGTAAGTCTGCGTGTTCTGCTCCCCACTCTGTCTCTGGTGAATCCTCTCACCCTTTGCACTCTAGCCTACATTCCAGTTCTTCTACATATAAATAAATAAATCCTTTAAAAAAAAAAAAAACTACTTTGAGTTTAAAATATTAAAAGGGGCCTTCCCTGGTGGCGCAGGCGGTTGAGCACAGCGCTGTGAAGCTGTCCACAGCCTCTGCAATGCTGGTTCAGTCCTGGCCGGCTGGCGAGGGCCCCACATGGCGCAGCAGACCTCTCCTGTCTCGCCCGCTGCTCCCCTCAGCAGTATATTTCAATCAGTCTGCCTGTTCTGTTCCCCGCTCTGTCTCTGGTGAGTCCTCTCACCCTCCCGCGCATCTGGCCTGTGCCCCGGTTCTTGTATGTATGTATAAATAAATAAATAAATATTAAAAGAACAGATGTTCTCTTTTACTTTTAGCACGGAAAACTTTGGGTATGGTTTGGTGGAAATTGCCAAAGGATATAAAGCAAATAACAGGAATAGGCCCTTCTGACAGTTTCAGGATGCACTGTACTGAAGGTACATCACCGATTCTTTGGTGAAAATATCATAAGCCACAAATACTTTAGGTTCGCTAGGAGGGGGCCTCAGTAGTATTGAGCCCAATATTAGAGGTGGTCAGAAAATAGATTCAGATTTCTTTTTAGGAAACAAAGATACGGAAATAAATTGGGTGATAACTGGAAAGGAAATACTGTCTTGCGTTTTCTCCTAACTTCAGATGCTGACAGTGAGCCATTTGTGTAGGCATACCCAGGGAACCAGTTCTGTACTTGGGTAGACCATATTGCTATGGGAAGGTATGACTTTCAAATTTTTGGTGCCCTCAGTGAAAAGAAGCCTTTCTTTTGGTGAATATGCAGGAAGTGTCAGGCAAAAGCCCTCTGAAAATAAGAACTTACTCTGGGTGTAACTCTAAGCAAACAGGCATTTTTTTAAATTGTTATAATGATTCCTTTTGGCCATACCTATTTTCAGTTAATGGAATTTGGGAAGTCACTTGGAAAAAAGTAGAATTTCCTTTTTTAGCATTCATGGTTGTGACTCCAACAGTTGCATCCAGCAGATTAAGAAATAATCTTCCATACATTTTATTTAGGTCCTTAAAAAGGTTTTAGTTTCCTTTTGAGCAAATCTATTGTTTAATCTATTCTGCTTTGCAATTTCCACTCTCCATGGTCCCTTATTTTCTCAGATCCTCTGAGGGATTTAAAACCTCTCATTTTGAAGAGTTCTGCTTCCATCCTGAGAAGGGAAACATGGGAGCTATTCTTGGCCTTGTTCTCTGTCAGCTTACGTGGAAATATTCACCTCTCTGTGATACCCTTAATCCTCCCTTAAATGTTTCTTGTTATTATTGGGAAAAGGACATAACATGTTTTAAAATCATACTGTTTTGGCTATTGGTATTTGTAATCCTGATATTGAATAAAATTATTACTTCATGTATTTTTGTAGATCTTATCTTCAGTTTTTATCCTCATTTATTTTAGGAATGTCTCGGGGTAAATCAATGATCAGTTCTCTCAGTATCATGGGGGGAAGCAGTGGACCCCCTTATGACCGAGCTCATGTCACAGGAGCATCATCAAGTAGTTCTTCAAGCACCAAAGGCACTTATTTCCCTGCGGTATGCAATCTGTTTTCCTTTGTATAAGATAAATAGGATCTTACATTCTTAATGCATTTAAATGTAGTTATTCAGCGATGGTAAAAGTAAAAAGGTTTTTAGTACAGAAGTTAGGCATATCTCTTAGAGGCGATAAGGCAAAAAAGGATTTACCACCACAGTGTTAGCAGTTATAAATCTTTGAGTTTACTGTGTAATAACCAGTGTATCTGAACTCTGTTGACTTTAATATCATATTTCAGGTAAAAAGTAGAACTATTGAATAGGACCTCCCAAAAGGGACACACCTAGAGTTTCTCCTGAGTCTCTAGTTTTTCTCTAAACATTTATAATTTGAAAATATGCAGAACCTAGCTGTACTGAACTTAAACCAGTGACTTGCAGATTATAGATTTCCTTCTCACTACCATGTACTGTTTAGTCATGAAGAAATTGTGTCTTAAAGAATGGGGAGCAACAATTCTAAAATACTGTTTGAGGTTTACTCTTTGGAAGGAAGGATCGTGTAAATAGTATAGTAGAAGGAAGGCAATATAAGTAGAGATGAAGAAGGATAAGTTGAAAGAAAGTCTGATAGTCTCCTTCTGGGATAGACTATTGTTATTTTAATACTTTAATTATTTTTTCTTTTAGATTTTGAATCCTCCACCATCCCCAGCCACAGAGCGATCACATTATACTATGGAATTTGGTTATTCTTCAAATAGCCCTTCCACTCATAGGTCCTACAGGTAATTCACATCCTCCTTTAATATAAGTCAAAATATTTATGAGAAGGAAATATTCTAGTTGTGGGCTTGTGTAGCCCTGCATGAGTAGATGATGGTCCCCAGAGAGAAGAGGCATCTTGTTTTGGTAATGCTGACATTGCCCAGCCACAGGTCTGTTTCCTTGAGAACATTATACATTTTTTTTTTTTTTAAAATAGAGGCATATTTTATTTATTTATTTTATTTATTTGTTTGTTTTGTTTATACATGCACTGGGTACAGTCAGAAGCGCGGGAGGGTGAGAGAATTCACCAGAGCCAGAGCGGGGAGCAGAGCAGGCAGAAGGACCGAAGTACACTGCTGAGGGGAGCAGCGGGCGGCAGGAGAGGTCTGCGCGCCATGCGGGCGGGACCCTCCTCTGGTGGCCGGGGAGCAGCCGGGGATCGAACCGGCACCGCAGAGGCCGCGGGCAGCTTCGCAACCCAGCGCTCAACCGCTGCGCCACAGGGGAGGCCCAACGTTATACATTTTTTTAAGAAGTCCCAGATCTTGGCTTTTAGAGTAGTAAGTTAGAACCCCCTGACTTTGGCAGTATTCTAAGGAAAAGCAGCTAATTTCAAAATAGGTGAATATTCAGATTTGGTTAGATTGATAGCCTGAGAGTGGAGTATTAGCGTAATGCTGTGGTTTGGATTGTTGAGAGCATTTAGGGCACAGAATTTGAAAGAAGTTGAGAGAAACTGAATTTCAGCTGTTGCTCATACATGTTACTATGGTCTGCAATAAAAGATTTCTTGTGTAGTTACATGGAATAAATCATGATTCACTAAAATACATGAAATGTAAGACACAAAGGGGGAAACAGACCTTTGTGCTGCTTTGTGAATCTGGAGCTTATTGAGCAGGATAATTTCTAATGTGTCATCTTGACTCTTCCATCTTACTTGAAAGGCCAGCAGAAAGCTAACAGATTGACACCATGTCTAAACACTTAGTGCCCAGCGTTATTGACAATACTCAAGTGTCTGTTGATCTTCTAGATAATAAAGTGTTGCCTGGTACTCCAGGTGACTGTGATAGAACCTTATAGATGTGTAGAAATCAGTTGGAAACTGCTTAGAATATCTTATTCAGAATTCTCACCTAAGTTTGTAGGTAAGTCTATTTGAGATAGGCTTGCCATTGAACTGATTGTTTTTATTGTAAAGGTTGCTTTCCTTGCCACAAGTTTGCTCTAAAAAGCCAAAACAGATGAGCAAAACCCTGAAAATTAGAGAAACAAAAGGGATGACCTGAAATTTTCTCTTAAAAAATTATTTTAATTTGAATGAAACGCTGATTAAAATAAACACAATTACATCAAAAATAATTCTTATTTAATCATTATCCATGTCTCAAATTAAGCCCACTTTCTGTTTCTTCTGAGTCAAACTTTTTATCATTTGTTGAGATTTTTGTTAATCCTGTTCCCATTTTCCCCTGTTTTTCTTTTCCCCTCATGAAAATGGAAGTGTTGGATCTTTTAAATGTTGAGCCAAGAAATCTCACCCAGGCTCAACACCTGATGGAAGAAAGATAAGGTCTAAAATATGCTATGACATCATGTCAATATTGGCAGTAAAGGAAAAAAAAAAACGCTCGAGAAACCTGCTCGGCAGGCCATGTAACTTGTGTTCCCTTGGCAGACGTTTCTTTTGAGGCAGGCCCTAATTGGTATCCAGTGGTTTGTATCTGGGACATTACCTGTGGCACTCTGTCACTGGGTGTTTATCAGTTGTAACTTCAGTGTCACACTTTCTCTTGGCCTTCTCTTGTAGGCACTTTGCTTGTTGTAAAAGTGTATGAGTAAATCTTGATTGAGATAAATAGGACATAACTTGACCATACTTAGAATATAAGTGGTATAAGAAGTTACAGGTAGGGCCTCCCCCGTGGCGCAGCGGTTGAGCGCTGGATTGTGAAGCTGCCTGCAGCCTCTGCAGCACCGGTTCCATCCCCGGCTGCTCCCCGACCACCGGAGGAGGGTCCCACATGGTGGCGCAGACCTCTCCTGCCGCCTGCTGCTCCCCTCAGCAGTGTACTTCGGTTCTTCTGCCTGCTCTGCTCCCTGCTCTGGCTCTGGTAAATTCTCTCACCCTTCTGCGCTTCTGACTGTACCCAGTGCTTGTATAAATAAATAAATAAATCTTTAAAAAAAAAAAGTTACAGATACAAGTAGGAATGATAGATAAGCCCACACTCTTAAGTCACCTCTTACTTTCACTAGTACATTCCTCTTTCCAATGATTTTTTCCTTCAGTTAACCATGCTATAAACTTGATCAACAGGTATAGATTACTCAAAAAGGTAGATAAACAAGTGTAAAAAAAATAGGTGTCTGAGATACGAGAAATTTTGCTGGTCTTACATGGCTATTTAGAATTTATTATTTTAATGTTCATCTAAATCCCCTCTTAGGATATCATGCTTCCTCCCTCAAACCATGGCAGCTTCCTTTAGTAATCGTAACAGTTGCTGATAGTAACAGTAATGACAGATAAGCCCTTTAGGCTGCCTACCAAAATTCAGTCTGTATTATACAATATTTGTGTTTTAAAGAGAGGATGAAATTTTCAGGCATCATTGAATTATTCATGAGGTAAATTATAGTGTAGTTAAAGAACTTTGTGGGAATACTAACTTGTTTGAGAGTGTTAAATATACAAAGACCCATTCTTCTGAAACCATGGAACTGCAGAAATGAGTGAGACTTACTACATAGACTAAATGCAGAATGTGTAATGGAGATTTTTGAAAGTTGACCATGAAGTACAACTTTTGAATAGTTCTTTTATTCTGTGATAGAGTTTAACAAAGATATTTTACATATCCAGAAACTAGATTGAAGTCACTGTGCATTCCCGTCCTGTCTGATTTTAATCCCCTCTAGCCATGTTTTATTTGCAGACATAAAATAGATGCTCCCTTCCTCCAGTCTGCCATTGAAAACTTGCTAGCTTCTCAGTGAAACTTACATCCAGTACCTCTGGTATTCCAAGGGGAAAGTCACTTTCCTATGAAACTAACTCTCTCCTGATTTCCTCCCTATACCAGCTACAGGCCATACAGTTACCGGCACTTTGCTCCCCCCACCACACCCTGCAGCACAGATGTGTGTGACAGTGACTATGCTCCCAGCCGGAGAATGACCTCCGTGGCGACAGCCAAGGGCTACACGAGTGACTTGAACTATGACTCAGAGCCTGTGCCGCCACCTCCCACACCGCGAAGCCAGTACTTGTCAGCAGAAGAGAACTATGAAAGCTGCCCACCTTCTCCATACACAGAGAGGAGCTACTCGCATCACCTCTACCCACCACCACCCTCTCCCTGTACAGACTCCTCCTGAGGAGGGGCCCTCCTCCTCTGACTGCCTCCAACACAAAAATGTAAATACAAATTTGGTTGAGATCTGGAGGGGGGGAGGGAGCTATTAGAGAAGGGTGAGGCAGACCATGTACAGTTAAAAATTATAAATGGGGTAGGGAATACTGGAGATATTTGTACAGAAGAAAAGGATATTTATATATTTTCTTAAAACAGCAAATTTGCTGCTTGTGCCATAAAAATTTGTATAAAAAATAAATTTGTACTAAAAGTTTTATTTTTACAAAACTAAATACACAAAGCATGCCTTAAACCCAGTGAAGTGACTGAGTACAGAGGAAACAGGAATAATAAAGGCATCACTGACCAGGAATGTCTGGCCGTTTTTGATACCAAAAACCACACGACAACAACAAACCCAAGAAACAACAAAGTAGTACTGGGAGAAGAAAGTGTCCATCTCAGAGCAGCAAACCATAATACTTGGAAGTAGCCAAAAAGCCTTCATGTTAATTTACATTTGAGGGCAATTATGTCTAAGAAATCATGAGAAGAAAAAAAAGAAATAATGCTAAACTCAGACAAAGGGCTTTGTTTTCTCTAGGAATCCCAACAATTTTAGTGAGGAAGGCAGAGGTGTTGCTATTGTGGGAGAGATCAGCTGTCTGGTAAGAGGCTGGGGGCCGTTTCTATGTGCAAGTCTTCTGTCCCTGCTGTAGAGCCCACACCTCTGTCAAAAAAGGATTGTTTCCTTTAGGTGTTTCCATCTTGCTTCCTCCCCTGGCAGCTTTGAAGATAGGACTTAGTCAAGGTTTTTCTTTTGAGGATTGATTAGACGGAATTTCCTAAATTAAGGTTTCATTTTAATTTTCCTACTAACTCCATTACCCAGTAGGTTCAGCTCTTCAGTGTCACTGCTGTTTTGCATAATGGTCAAAGGTTAGACATATTATTGCTCCTCTTTACTTCCAAGATTGTTCTAATGCTCATTAAAATGTCTTTTTACAATACATATAGACGTTTAAGAATTATAAATTTAACTGTTGTTTTTTATGTAAATTAATCATATATCCTTGCAGTACTTTCAGCATATAATATCACAATATGAAATCATTTTTATATATTTTTCGCCTAGTAAAACTTTTAAATATGTTCTTGTTAGAGGCAATCTATTTAAAAAGAGATTTTATTGTATCATTAGGTTTTCCCTTTATTAACTATTTTTGACATTTTCATGTTCTTAGGCCAATTTTTTCTCCAAATGATGTCTACATACATACCTCTTCTAATGTGTGACATGAGTTTAATATCTTTCTGTTACCCACTGTGAATGTTAGTTTTCAGATTTCCACAGATTCTCCTTATAATGGCCTCATATATTTTTATGTGTGCTCTCTCTTTATCTCATTATGGAATAGATAATTTAAACAAATTTAACAATAGAGATTGAAGGTAAAGGCAAACTGTTAACTTCTCAGCTGTCAGAACTTGGGTGGACGGAATAATGGAAGGCTCTGTGTGAGCTGCCTGAGTGCACAGTTCCAGGGCTGCTACATCTTCAGCTCTCAGGGTGCAGTGATTCCAGCACTTCTCTGCCACCCTGTCAGAAATTCATTTCCTGCTATTTACAAGTTTCCAGCACTTCTCTGCTAAAATTGAATGTGTTTTTGAACTAATGTATTTTTACCTTAACAGATGTTGATCAGTTAATTGTTGAATGTGTATGTGTGTATTTTGTTTTTTTGTATTCTGTGTTGCTGAGGCCTTTCTGGATTTCAGGGCCCAAGAGAAAACAACAGAAGGATTTAGACTTTTGGCAGACGTGAAGTAACTAAGCAGTTGAATACCTAAACAGACTTTTCAGAGTGGAGAAAACGGGGTTTTAGATTGTGGGGACACCATCAGGTGCACTTGATTTTGCATATAAATAAATGGTAATCCATCAGTGTCTTGCATTTCAGTCAGACAAGCATTAACTCCTCCTGTTGACTGAACGAAGTGCTCTCCTCACAGTCTTAACATAAACGGACATGGAAAGTTGTGTTCTGGGACACATGGGGGCCCTTGATGCTAAATGAAGATGGATAGCTCAGCAATAACTGGGTATCGGCTAGAATTTGAGAATTCTCTATGTTTACATTTTTTGATGTGCATCTTTCTCTGGTGGGCTTTATCTGATGTGCACTATAATGAACTCAGAAGATTATCGTCTGTGATATCTCAGTCCAAGTGCTTATACTGCAATGGCAGTGGCCTCTTCTTGCAAGATACTAATTTGTGTGCCAATTTGTTTGAAATTATTTGAAGGCAGTTCAGCTTAAACTCAATCCTCTTTCGGGGGTAGTTGAGATGGATTCTTATTTGGGGAGTACCTTTAAATGACAGAATTGTCAAAATTTAGGAGGGAGTTATTGACCCTTAGGTTACATGGACAGTTAAGCTTCAGTAAACTATCTTGATAATTAAACAAAGAACTTTATTTGGAGAAACTGAAAATTAAAAACTTAAATATTTGAGAACTTAAAATGGGGGGAATGAAAGTTTAAATTTGGTGTATTGCTCCATTAATTATCCGAGAGAGAAAAATGAGTAAAATGTCATTACGTTCCTTAAATACAAAAGTATTTCATTTGAACCTTTGTCTTAAAGCATGCTCACTTAAAATGATCTGAGAAATGAAGTTCACGATGGCAAACTTTTCTGTGCACTACAGCAAGCTATTATTCTCTGTTGAAATAATCTTTTATAACTGAGCTTTTACAACTTTGGAGTTGGCTCCTGCAGAGCCCTGGTCTTCTGAACAGTGGCCCAAGGGATTTTGCTGCTTAAATTAGATAATGGTGTATGCACATTTTCTCAATATTAACTTCTTCTTTCATGAAATTTTATTGTGCCTTTGATGTTTGTTTGCCCTCTGTAGTAGTCTGTCACATCTGTAACAGAAAATTACAGTTAATTTAAATGGGAAAATACTTCGTGATATATCACCAAGAAATATCTGACCCTGTGATAATTTGAGAAAAACTGTCTTCAAGGAATGATAAGTACTTACAAATGAAAACTATAGTGTATTTTCATCTAGTATAGACTAGTAATTTAGGAGGCCTTGAGCAGTTCAGTTTTATGAGTATTCATCTTTAAAAATATTCTGAAGTCATTAATTTGTCTAAGACCAACTCAATATTAAGATTAAAAAGAGAGCCACCGTCTGTATCAGGTAGTGATTAATTTGGGGGGTTGGGGGTAATCCCTGTTTTACTGCAAAGCCCCATCAGTGAAGAATTTGAATAGAGTTAGCGTCTGTGGCTTACCTCAGCTATTACTGGATGGTATTGCTTCTGTTACCTGAGATGACTGCTGGAGCCAGAGGGGCTTGTCTTAAGCAAGTCGGCTGCTCTGGAACAGAGGTGCTGCTCTTTCAGTGTCTCATCCTGTGCCTAGATTGGATTCTTAGAAATGTCTTTTTAAAAGTTGTCTCATTTTTAACAAGGGAAGCCTTGCCACTTCATTGATTGGCCTGCCACAAGAGCTACGTATGTTTGTATTACATACCTAACAGGGCTCAGAAACAAAAATCTTGGACTTTTCACACTCCAAATGTGTTGTGATTTGAATAAATGCTGTGCTTCCGAGTGTGGAGAGGCACATACAGTATGGAGTGTGGACATGAGTATTGATTGTATCAGCTGATCAAGAAATGTTTGGGCATCACAAATGAGCCCACACTGGGTGATGACGTGGAATGCATCAGAAAGACGTGGAATGCATCAGAAAGACGTTTCTAACCAAAAAGTTTAAAACGTTCTCAGAATTCTTAAGCTCAAGAAATTTCATTTGTTATTTCTTTCCTTATCTCAATCCTAAAATGAGCCAAGAGAATTAACAGATAAATTTAGAAAGTACTGGCAGTGCATGTGTGTTTTCTGATTTCTGGGGTGGCATCATTTCATAATCTCAAAATTAACTTTTGGAATTCTCGAAGTTTTAAAGGATTTAGATGTAAAATTTTACATTTATAATCTGAAACAATTTTAAATAATGAGCATTGTGAATCCATGTCCTCAGGATATTCATTAGACTTTGTCTTTATCTAGAGGGGAGGGAGCAGGGGGCTAGTTTAATTTAGAATGAAATACTACCTTCACCTCCCTTCAGTTGTTAAACTTGACACACTATTTCTCTGTCTTAAGGCATTCTTAAACTATTCCTAAGTTTATTTTGAAAATAATCCTCATGGCTTTACAAATAGAATTGTAAACTAAGTGATTTCTTGTATTCAGAAGTGGAGTCTAAACCCAGCAAAAACTAGCTTTTAGATTTCCCACCATTATTTAGTGTGTTCCCCAAAATTAACGCCAAAGAATTAGACTGTGTGCTTTTGCTTAACTGTCCATTTTTGTTGTCCCATGAACAAACAGGAATATATATATATTATATATATGCCAAAACATGAATATGAAAAGGAAACTGGAGCAAAGAAATTCAGATTACATCTAATGCTCCCTGTATGTATCTAGAGGGTTAGTAAGGAAAATTCAAAAAGAGTAAAGAGCTTGCCAAGGAGCTTAAGCTGAACTGACCTTATTTGCAAGTGAAGGATCTGGTGCTGCTTTCAGATGTTTCTTCTTTGTGTTTTAAAATTTTTCTTAAGCTTTAAACTTTGTCATTGTCTTAAAGTCAGCTGGTGTTTCTTGTTCTTGGACTTTGGTACGACGGTGCTTTGCAAGGATGTATTTATATTTTAATGGCCAACATTTGGTCAGCCCTTGTCCACTATTCACTTCCCCTTTTTGTAAAATAAGTGCTTTAATTGTAAACTGTATAAAAACACCTTGTATAAACCCCCATTTTGATTATTACAATAAGCTGAGCTGTAACAAATGAAATGTTGATTTTTATAATAAAACAGTGGAAAAATAAAAGAGTGTTGTTTCTTTTCAACAAGGCACTTCTACTTTGCTACGATGGACTGTTGTTTCAGGCACAACAAAGTCCATCTTTATCGTTTGCGTTTCACTACTTTTTGGTTTGAATAAATTACCTCAAGAGAGAGGTTCTGGAGGAGCTATAGCTGCACAGATGATAGGGAAACAGTTCAGCACTGCTCCTGTTTTCAGTAAGCTTTCGGAAGAAGTCCTGACGTGTGGGCTCTGAGCATCCCCCTTCTCTGACATGATCATGAACTCAAGTTTGCTTTTTCTGGTGCAGAGCCCAGTGTGGAAGGATGAAACTGAAGGGTAGCAGGAAAAAACATACTGGAAGATTCATACACATTGGAATGACGTTCTCTTGATGAATTGAACCCTTTGTTATCATTAATATTCTTCTGAATTCTGTGATATTAATAGAGCCACTCCATTTTTCTTTTCATTAGTGTTATTGTACATCTTTTCCCATCATTTTTTAACATAATAGTCTTTTTATATTTATTTTAAAGATTTATGCATACAAGAGCTGGAGTATTGGCTAGAAGTGCGAGGGCGGTGTGTGTGTGTGTGTGCACGCATGCATGCACAGCAAGCAAAACAGGAGAAGTCTGTTGCACCATGTGGGTAGCTCCCTAGCTGGGGATCAAACTCATGCAGCCCTGGCTGCAATAGCATGGTGCTGAGACTTAACCCCTTGAGCCACCAGAGAGGCCCTCTCTTTTTATATTTAAAATAGTTTGTTTTGGGGACTCCCAAAAGATGTGCAAAGTGTTAAGACACAGAACTATGAAGATAATCTGCAGTCACTGCAGCACAAGTTCTATCCCAGGCCGGCCAGGAAGCTACCCACATGGCCAGCAGACCTCTCCCGTCTCGCCCACTGCTCCCCTCAGCAGTGTATTTCAGTAGATCTGCCTGTTCTGTTCCCCACTCTGTCTGTGGTGAATCCTTTCACCCCCCACATCTCTGGACTGTACCCCAGTTCTTGTGTGCATACATAAATCTTTAAAAATAAATAAATTGGTTTGGTTTTAGGCTGCATATAACTAGGTCTAGATTTTAAAAAAATCTAAACCAGTAATCTCGGCCTTTAAATTGGGGTGTTAAGACCATTTTCATTTATTGTGGTTACTGATAACAGGATTTACTGAATATATCAACCTGTTCTCTTTTTGTCTTTTCCGCCTTTTGTTTCCCTTTCTCTCCTCTTGCTTTATTTTTGGATTGAGTTTTTCAGGATTCATTTGGTTACCATTCTTTATTGTCTGATTAGCTATAAATTTTATGTGAGTTGATAGATGTTTTGGTGGTTTGTAGATTTATATTTCACATTTTTTACTATCTACTTTCAAATGTAATTATAAACATCACGTATAGGATGGAACCTTCCAATTATACTTCCATTTCTCCCTGCTTATTTGCTATTGTCATAAATTGTATTCTATGTATATTATAACCTCCACAGTACATTGTTATTTTTCCTTTACGTGGTCCTTTTAAAGAGATGTCTGATAAAGATGTCTGCTATTTATTTAACAGCTAGTTTCAGCTAGTTTCAGTGTTCTTTTCTGCACATAGAGATTTTTATTTGGTATAATTTCCTTTTGCTTAAAGCACTTCCTTTAACATTTTATTTCTCCTAGTGAGGAATTCTTGGTGCTTTTGTACAGCTCAAAAAGTGTTTCATCTTTTTAAAAATATCTCTTTGTTGTATATAGAATTCTGTATTGATAGGTGTTTTTTCTTCCAATATTTTCAAGATACTTTTGGTATTCTACTTTCTTCTCTCTTGTACTGTTTCCCAAGAAAAGTTTGCTGTCCTTTTCTCTGTATGTAATGTGTCTTTTTCTCTGCTTTTAAAGCTTCTTCAATGCTTTTAAGCAATTTATGATGTGCCCTAAGTATAGTTTTCTACATGTTTTCTGTTTGATATTCATTGAGTTTCTTGGTTCTGTAGGTTTTGTTTTCATCAAACTTGGAAAATCTCCAATTATCCATCTTTTTAGAACAATGGGTGTCATCCCACAATTTACTGTTGATCTCTCGTTCCTTCTACCCTCCATCCGTCTTTCTGTGTTTTATTTTGTCTATTACTGTGTCTTATGGTTACCTTAGTCTATCCTGTAATATCTAGTGGCTGTTAATCCATTCCACTGTTTTTCATCTCAGATTTCTTTTTAGAAGTTTCATTTCATATTTATAATTTCTATGTGTGCTTCACATGTTCAGTCCTAACATGAACAACATCTTAAAGGTAGGCTTGAAGCAGTGTCACACTAGGCCATCCCAAGTATAGTTTAAAAAATAAGAGAGGGCCTCCCCTGGTGACACAGCGGTTGAGCACTGGGCTGAGAAGCTGCCCGCAGCCTCTGCAGCGCTGGTTCCATCCCTGGTCTCTGGTGAGGGTCCCACTTGGCGCGCAGACCTCTCCTGGTGCGCAGACCTCTCCTGCCACGCCCGCTGCTCCCCTCAACAGTGTACTTCGTCAGTCTGCCTGTTCTGTTCCCCACTCTGTCTCTGATGAATTCTCTCACCCTTCTGTGCTTCTGACTGTACCCAGTGCTTATGTAAATAAATAAATCTTAAAAAAAAAAGAGAAACCAAAGAGTAAGCACATGCACCATTTATCACCTCCCCCTTAGCAGGTGTCTGTAAGATGCTACAGATACTTAGCAAGTATCTGTAACACTTTCCCTAACATAGTGACCAACAGAGGCAGGATGATGGTTTCTGTTCCGAACATTTGAAAGGAAAATTGCCACTTGTCTGTCTGCATACTCAAAAGAGGACCTGGGAAATGGATGCCAGGGGCTGTGCAGCTACATTCATGAGTGGAGGCTAGCACGGTCTCGCCTGATGCCACCAGATTCACAGGAATGATGGTTTTAAAAACTCCAAGTGCTCATCTGCCTTGTACGTTTTCATTTTCTCCCATAGCCTGTGCTGAAGCCCACATATACAGGGCCAGAGCTGGACAAGGAGCGTTCTTCCAGGTTACTCATCTTCTGATGTTTCAGTCTACTTCATGTGCTGGCCCGAGTACCTTTTCCTAGGGGAGGACAAAGAGAAATGGATTCTTAAAATTCCAAGTGTGATTTGCTGTGGAAGTGAAAACGTGTGGTAACCCTGCTCTCTCATCCCAGGCATGACTGCAGCTTGGGGTCTGTGTTCTTTGGGTGGTGGGAGGGTTTGGAAGGGTGGCTGGCAGCCTCGGTGTGCTGCAAGGGAAACATCCAAAAGGACCTTGGTTACCCACCCAGGCTAACAAGCTACGTGGGAAAGGGCTTTTCATGCTGTTTTTAAAGTTCAAGGGTGCATACACTGGAAGGCTGATGATTGCAGCTTGCAAGCCTGTCCTTTCTGCTTGGTGGGTCAGGGAGGACTGCAGGGTAAATGTGAACAGTGCTCCACAGTGAGGAAAAAGGGCCAAGCAGTAAGTGAAAACCTGGCAGCTTGGTCATCATGCTTTGTAGACAGCTGCTAGTCATTCGATTTTGTTGTTTTTTAAAAAACTTTTTTTTTTTTTAAAGATTTATTTATGGGAGAACTGGGGTGTAGGCCAGAGATGTGAGGATTCACCAGAGACAGAGGGGGTAGCAGAACAGGCGGATCTACTGAAATACACTGCTGAGGGGGAGCAGCAGGCGAAGACAGGGGAGGTCTGCTGTGCCATGTGGGTTAGCTCCCTGTCTGGGGATCGAACTCAGGCCGCAGTGACTGGCGATAGCTTGCTAGCGCTGTGTCTTTAACCCCTGCGCCCCCAGGGAGGCCCCTCGATTGATTAATTTATTGTTCTACAGCCATTGGCTGAGTGATGTATATAAAAGTAATGGGAGCTGCAGGAGGGCCTAACACTGAATTCTCCCCTCACAGATGTGCAGCCTCATTGGGAAGATTAGATACACCCCTGTGAGACATGGAATACTAAGATAGAAACCCCGAGCCCCTGGAAAACTTGCGTGTAGGAAGAGTTTTCCTCCTCCCACACCAGTAAAATGACTCCCCAGAGCCACTGAGACTCCTGGGCCAGTGGCAGTGCCTGGAGGTACCCATGTCCCTTCTGTCCTGTGCTGGGAGACCGAGCGCAGGTCTCAGTGCTATCTCCTTCTCATTGTGGTAGCTCATATCTATCTACTCAGATATTCTCTCATCAACATCCTTCTTTATTTGTTGAAACTGTCAACAAATTTTCCAACAAAAAGTTTGGAAAAATTTGCCCTTTCCTTCACTTTCCTCACCTAATTTCCATCTCTGTGCTCCAAATTAAACCTTACTGTAGCCAAGAGTTTTGATTTGGGTTTATAATGATCTGCAAAAGTAAACTACTATGTTTTGAATTGAAACTTGAGATGATAAAAAAAAATCAGTGCCAAAAATTTGAAATTTTCCTTTATAGTTTTCTACCAAAAAATTAACCTATTTTGGGGCCTCCCTGGTGGCACAAGGGGTTAAGTCTCAGCTCTATCGAGCTATCGCCAGCCACTGTGACCTGAATTCAATCCCCAGCCAGGGAGCTGATGCACATGGCGCAGCAGACGGCTCCTGTCTCACCCACTGCTCCCCTCAGCAGTGTGTTTCAGTCAATCTGCCTGTTCTGCTCCCCACTCTGTCTCTGGTGAATCCTCTTACCTCCCCCACCCCACACCTCTGGCCTACACCCCAGCTCTTGTATGCATAAATAATTAAAAAAACTTTTTAACAAATTAATCTATTTAATTGGAATAACTTTTCTCTCTAACACCAGCAAAACCAAATAAAAAAATTAAAATATTCTTTTTTCTTTCTTCTTTTTATTCTTAATAGAACTGGACCACTATTTTTCATAAGCTTCACTGAATTACTCAAAGCACATAATTCAATGGTTTTTAATATAGCCACAGAATTGTGCAATCATCATTTCTTCTTTTACTCATTTTTATGAACACTAAAATGCTCTGTAAAGTCATCCCCCATTCCCTCTCTCCAGAACCTCTGAAGGCCACTAATCTGTATTTCTGAATTTGTCTGTCTTGGCCATTTCATGTGAATGGAACTGTAATATATGGCACTTTGATTTCTCTCATTTGGTGTGTTTTCAAGGTTCACCCATCTATCAAATTCATTCCTTTTTCTGGCTGAATAATATTTCATTGTCTGGGTATTCTACTTTTTTTTTTTTTGATCTTATGTTTAGGTTTTATTTATTTATTTATTTTGCCATTTTAATCATTTCTTTATTGAGGTTATATTGGTTTATAGCATTGTGTATGACTTACAGGTATAGGATCGCTCCCTTCAGGTTATCATATTATGCCATGACCAAAATCAGAAAGTCCTGCACCTTTGTCTTTTGTGCCCCCTGCCTGCTTTACCCCCCCTTCTCCCCTCCCCTTCTGGGAAGCTCATTTCTGCAGTCAGATAGCTGGGATTTGTTATCCATTTGTTTTTTATTTATTTATTTATTTATTTATTTATTTATTTATTTATTTTAAATAATAAATTTTATTTTTATAGTCCCCATACAATTGCAACCCCCCCATTCTGATCCCAATCTCTCCCCTCCCGCCCCCCACCCCTGGGTATTCTACTTTTTGTCTCTGCACTAATTCATTATTGATGAATATTTGGGTTGTTGCCACTTTGGGTCAATTAAAACTAGCGAATGCTGCAATGAACATTCATGTTTGTGTTCTTATGTGAACACTGGTTTTCAACTTTTTTGGGTACTTATCCAACAGTGGAACTGGTAACTCTTTATGTTTGACACTGGGGGAACTACCAAATTATTTTCCAAAGGGCAGGACCATTTTATTTCAGTATCAATGTATGAGGGCTCAAATTTCTACAAATCCTCACCAACGCTCATCCTTTTAATTTTAACCACACTAGTGTAGTTTTGACTAACGTTTTCCTAATGTTGAAATGAAGGTTATCAAGCGGGCATCTTTTCTGGTGCTCATTGGCCATTTTTGTATCTTCTCTGGAGAAATAAGTTTTCCAATCTGTTGCCCATTTTTTTAAATTGGGTTTTTGTCTATTTCTGAGTTGTAAGAATTCATTACCTATTCTAAATACAAGTCTCTTTTTTTTTTTTAAGTTTTAAGTTCCTAGCCACTTATGTTATTCTTTTTTTATTTGTTTGTTTATTTGTTTATTTATACAAGCACTGGGTACAGTCAGAAGCGCGGGAGGGTGAGAGAATTCACCAGAGCCAGAGTGGGGAGCAGAGCAGGCAGGAGGACTGAAGTACACTGCTGAGGGGAGCAGCGGGCGGCAGGAGAGGTCTGCGCGCCATGTGGGACCCTCCTCCAGGGCCGGGGAGCAGCCAGGGATTGAACCCGCGCCGCAGAGGCTGCGGGCAGCTTCACAACCCGGCACTCAACCGCTGCGCCACCGGGGAGGCCCTAAATACAAGTCTCTTAATCAGATATACGACTTGCAAATATTTTCCCCATCCTGTGGGCTGTCTTTTCACTTTCTTGATGCTGTCTTTGAAGCATGAAAGTTTTTAACTTTGATGAAGTCTAGTTTATTTTTCTTTTGTTATTTGTGCTTTTTGTGTAGAAGCACTATTTTTTTATTGAACTTTTGGCATTTCAGCCATCATAATTAAACAGATTAACTTGTGAACCAATTGACAGCTATAATCTCTCTGGAAAAAAATATATAAACAGGACCAACAATGATGGTGAGTTGCTGTATGTAAATATCATGCAAATGTCAAGAGTTGTAGGAGACCAGGGACTGGTGAGGACCTGGTGAGATCTCATGCTGGAGAGGCCAGGAAAGGCTCTGGGCCAGAGGAGGGATTAGAGGTGGTCTCAGAAGGAAGAAGAGTTAAAGCTGGTATGATGTTGAGGAATCCCTCCTCTTCGTGAGTTAAGGCAGCTTGAATATAGAAGATTTAAGAGCCTTAGCAGTTCAGATCGGCCCCTTCCAGGCTATCCTATATGCTGCAAATGTGGGAAGTAGGAAGCTAAGCACTGAAGTCCACAGTGGACCTACCAGCCCCTCGATTAAGATCAGCTGTCCTTTCTTTCTCAGAGTCCCGAGACTAGACCTGGGCCATGCTGGCCATACCTGGAGCAGACTCAAACCTGCTGCTGGCCCCTGAGCCATTCTCGGGGCAAGAGGACTGAGGGTCATATGGCACCAAGGCCTGTTCTCCTAGGGAGGGCTGGAACAGACAGGGACGTCTGGGCCTGCTGAGGGCTAAGGCTCTGGGTGAAGCATTTTGATGGCGGGGCCTCCCTAGTGGCACAAGGGGTTAATATACAACCTATGAAGCTATCCACAGCCTCTGCAGCATGAGTTCAATCCCCACCCAGGGAGCTACCCACACGGCACAGCAGACTTTTCCTGTCTTGCCTGCTGCTCCCCTCAGCAGTGTATTTCAGTCAGTCTGCCTGTTCTGCTCCCCACTCTCTCTCTGGTGAATCCTCTCACCCCCTGCACCTCTGGCCTGTACCCCAGTTCTTGTATGCATAAATAAATACATCTTAAAAAAAAAAAAAAGAAATGAAACTGTGCTTTTTTAGTTTGCATCCAAATGTCCCTGTCAAAGTGGCTGGGTCAGGGCAGCAATGACAAATGTTCTGAACCTTGAAGCTCGGCCTGAGGAGCCCCCACACCCTGTCAGCACCCGCGAGGACGAGGAACCGTCTGCCTCCCGTCTCACTGCCAGGCTTCCGTCGCCTGTGAAATTGGTGAAAACAGAAATTCCATCTATCTAAACATTTCCTATCTGAGCATCTCTTCATTTCCTGTTACATCCGACCAGTCCTTCTCTGCCTTTGGGAGCTCAGTAAATATTTATTGATGAAGATAATCACTAAAAATATGTTCCCATCGATGGGATAAATCTCTTGCCACTCGGGCGTCCTAAGCCCATGAGAACCGCTTCACCACTATGTTCCCTTCACTTAAACGAAAAACTTTCCATTCTATCTGCCCTGAGTTCGGGGGCGAGTCCTTCTTCAACACGATGCACTTACCCATCCGCCATGCTGCTGGACCCAGGGCGAGAAGTTCTCTTTCAGGTACTTGGTTCCAAAGCCCAGCACCCTGTTCATGGGGTGGTTGTCGATGGCAGTGAGCTTGGCCATGACATCTATCGCAAGAGCAGCCTTGAAGCTCTGAGCTTTGACCTCGGACTCTCCCCTGGTGTCCACACCCTGGAGGAACTTGTCTGTGATGGCCTTGAAAAGAGGGTAGGACAGCCCCTCCTGGAAATTGCTCATCAAGCTCTTGTCCTTCCTCAACTGTGTGCGAGAGATAAGCGTTAGGAGCTCAGCTCGGCCCAGGGAGGCCCACAGCCAGTCACCTCAGTGTTAAAACAACACCTCGTTCATTCGACATTCAACTGCGATCCCCTTAGCACTTAGCAATGAGCTGGTAGCAGGGATGGTTGAAACTGGAGCTCGCAGGTTAAGAGGGGGTAAGGGGCAAGGGGATATGAAGGATGGTGGGGGAAGAGGGTTAGTCCATCTTGCTAGCTCTCAAAAAGAAAGAAAAAAGCACATATTTAAACCTGAGAACTTGTGCACTTGAATATTAGATCAAATGTCACAATGTTAACTTATCTTTTTAAGGAAGTACCCCTGGTTGACATCGTTGTTAGGATTTTAGAAGTATAGGATCCTCCCGGTGGGCATACAAGGCTCCTTTCAAGTTAGACAAGACCAGGAGGCTTGATGGTGCTGGGGCAATAGGTCTGCATGGAAGTATGACCAGGAAAGCGGGGGAGGCAGGTAGGGCCCGGGCATTGACTGATGTGCTCTGTGCCCCAGGAATTGATCAGTGGGAGGCCTTGTTAATAAGACTGGAGGCATGAGCCTCCCTGGTGGCTCAGGGGTTAAAGACAGCTCTGTGAAGCTACCACCAGCCACTGCAGCACACGTTTGATCCCCAGCCAGCCAGAGAGCAACCCACATGGCGCAGCAGACCTTTCCTGTCTCGTCTCCCTGCTCCCCTCAGCAGTGTATTTCAGTAGATCTGCCTGTTTTGTCCCCCACTCTGTCTCTGGTGAATTCTCTCAAGCCCCACCCCGCTGGCTTACACCCCCATTCTTGTATGCATAAATAAATCTTAAAAAAAAAAAGATTGGAGCCAAGGGTGGGGTTCGGGAGTGTATCAGCAGACTCACCCTCCCTAAAGCCCTAAATCCAGTATTCAGTTGACCCACCCTTTTCTCTGTCAATAAAAAGGCCAGGATGCTGCATTGAGGGTGTCCTGCATCCTACAGCCTGCTGCCCGACTCCCTCCCGTTTCTTTTCTTTATCGGTGTGGTGTCAGCAACACCTCCCTTCAGGTGTGGTCACTGTAGCCCACAGAGGACCCATAGTCCTCCACCAAGTCCATTGTCTCCCCCCCCCACCCCCCCCACCCCCCCCCCCCCGTCAGCCCCACCCCCCCATCCCGCCTCATGCCTCTGTTCTATTGTCAGCTTTCACAGGTTAGTTTTTGACTATCAGACCCTTTGGCTTCTCTGCATTCCATATGACCCTATTAAGATGTTAATTTTTCAACCTAAGTCTTGTTTTCCAAAGACCAGAAAGAAACACCTTCCCCAGAGCAGCCCCCTGCCCTCTCTTTCCCTGGGGGTGCACCTGGCTCTGAGAGACTCAGGGGCTGCAGGGTGCATGTGAAAGGGGTGAGTAGCTTTGCAGGCTCTATGGCCACTACAGAGGTGGGGGGGGGGCTCATTTCACTGTCCCATCTCACCCACACAGCACGGATCAGACCTTCCGCATGTAACTCTGATGAAGAAAAAGGAATCACAGCCATATTTTCAACATAAAGTGTTATCCCAGATCATCAAGAGGTGCTGCCGGGCACCAGGCAAAGCAAGGTTTTTAAAAGTTGTATTTTGGGGGTGAAAAGGAAGGCATCTCATCATAACCAGAGGGGTCGCCTTCATGCTATCCCCTGTCCCTGGCCTCCCTGACCTTCCTGTTACCAGTCACTGGTTAGAGGCAGGAAAGGAGGTCGCCATGAGGGCCTCAGCATCTTGAAGCTTGTGAAGAGGCCTCCAGGACAGCATACGGGTCCCTCCCAGGTTGGGTATTGGGTATTGGCTGGTGATGGGCAGCTGCTTGAAATTTTTCTAGTCACAGGAAGATCATTACTCCCCAAGGCAGCGCTGGGCCTGGATGGGCAGTCCTGAGAGCTAGAAAGTTCATTCGATTGCCCTGTAACTCCTGCCTTTTGATGCTCCTTCTGGAGGGAGGCAGGGAGGTCCTTAAGGCACATTCATGCTCGACTTCCTGCCTCTGCTCCCCGCCCGTGACCTCTTTGCCTTAGTCTGACTGAGATCCCTGGTTTTCTCAATTTCTTGCTTTGCACCCTGTCCCATACCTTTCAACCTCCTGGTAGGGGGGCTGACCCCGAGGTGCTGTTTCCCCTCCTGCAGATGCGCCCCCATCCCTGCTATGGACCCCAGCCAAACTAGGGAATGGCCCGCAGGCGGCCCCTGATGGAGAGAGTCTGGAGGGGACACAGTGTGTGGGTGATAGACACAAAAGTGATGGTGTTCAGAAGCCCCGGTCACTGGGGGAGCCCTGGGGCTGGGGGCAGCAGGGTGTGCTCACCAAATCTTATCCCAGGCAAGGCTCACATGCTCCTGATTGGAATGACAGGTCGCAAGCTCTAACTGGCAGGAAACCCAAAGTTCTCCAAGTAACACAAATCTGTTTCCCTGGCTGAATCGCTGAGAGACGTTGAGCAGAGAACAATCCAGCAACTCAAGCGGGGGATTCAGAAAGGAATCAGAGCAGCTGTGGACACAGATATCCAGGCTGCAGGGCAAACGCAAGAGTCTAAACTTCACTGAGGATCAGTTACATGGGGAACAAGATTAATAATTCTATTCAGCAGATTGTAATTTATTGGTGCTTTTTCTTACAATAACAAAGTTACTTTCTTCATTTCCAAAAATTCCGAGGAGGCTCCAGAAGGTTTACTTATGTTTTCCAAAGTGATTCATTTTTGAGTTGCTGCCAGTTTGAAGAATTTTGACTCCAAGGGAAATAAAATTTAGGACTAAGTGGAAACCAGACTTTGAAAAGGAATAAGGTTGCAACCTGGAGTACAAATCCCTCCTTGAGTACCAGAGATTGAGCAGAGAGAGAACCACATTCGTTAGAACTTCATACCTCTCTTTCCAAGTGATCCCCTGAATATTTCAACACCTCAACGATTCTGGCTAGGATCTGGTCCTCTCCATCTGCCAGGGGAAAATTCCAGTTATTTCTTTTATAAAAAAATACTTAAATTATTTCACTAACAATGCTTGTAGCCTGGCTAGGGTATGAGGAAGACGTGTGCTTGGTTTGCAATTTTCAGGAAATCACCTCTGCCTTTGCCTCTTCTGAGGAGGCACAGACCCTTCGAGACCCTCTCTGCCAGATACCTCCTTTGCTTCTTTCCTCTCTAAGTCCTCCCACCGCCCCCCACCCCACCAGCCCCATCACCTCACTGCAAAATCCACTACCATATTTATGGGAATGTTGTTGAGGACATTAGTTCCACTACCCTCAAGCCTGTCTCCAAAGATATTTAGGAGAACTTCCTCTCTGATCTCGAGGCTTTTATGGCCGTATTTCCAGATGGACACCATAAATCCCCTCCTGGAGAGGGGTCTAGTCTTCCCGACTGGCATTTTGGGAATTAGCCTCAATCCTAAACCCACTTTATCTTCCCACACTATTTTTTTTTTTTATTTATTTCAAACTTGAGTTATTTTCTTGTATTAAAATGTATACCAGGTCTTTACAAGATGGGGTATGAATAAAATCAAGAGGCAGAGGTTATAGATGCTATCATTGGTATGTGTATTGGAACAGGAAGGTGGAGGATGATGCTTCTTGTCTCAGAACTTGCTAACAACGAAACATGAAGAACAGGACCCAAAACGAGAAGGTCAGTTACGGAGAAAACAGCATCTCTAAACTTCAGACACAATCTCTGGAGCTGGAGTCCTCACACGTGCCCCGGGTCAGAGGGCAAGGGAGGACCCTCGAGGAGATCTCGTGGCCTGCACTGCCCACATCCTCCACTGCCGTGTGGACAGGGACCACCAACAGCCAGGAGAATGGGGTGCTTCCCTCACTCCTGCTCCCCTTAACCCTCCCCTTGGAGCCCAGAATCCTCACTTGTCCAAAAGGATCTGCAGTCCCAGGTACTGTGTCAGTTTTGATCACAAATGACCCACGCAGGTCACTCAGTTCTGCGCCAGCCCTGACAAAGCCCTGCTTTTCCCAGGAACCTACTGTGAGAGCCTGAATCCCTGGGCCGATGCTCCGTCTGCCCCTAGCATTCCCCAAAGCAAACTGGTCCTTGGCCCTTGCTAACACGATGAAATCAAACACCGCGTTTCTCCGTGGACAAGGCTGAATGCACGCCTTGTTCCACCCACCCTCCTTCAATGGGAGACTTTTCTTCTGACTTAGCCGTGAACTTGGCAAGTCGCTTCAATCTGCCGGTGCAGCCCTGCCGGAGCAGGCTGTACTCTCCAGCCAGAGGGCAGTGCCTCCTTCGTCCAAGTCAGCAGATCCTCAGGTTGCAGGGTCTGAACTGAATACACAAGTGCACCGATACCCCTGCCAGTCATATACTGAACCCCACACAGACACGCAGGGAGTTTACCTTTCTTACCACCGGCTGCTTTGGGCCGGTGACCCACCAAGATGACAGTCCGTGGTGTGGTCGCTTTGGAGTCAGAGAATCCCTGGGGTTGGAGCTCTTCCGTGGGTGGCCAGGAATAAACAATTTCAGCAACTCGGTTGGCAATGGAAACAACTTCGGGGGCCACAACTGAAACAAGACAAGATGGTGCTGAGAAGCTCTCCCAGGAGAACTTGCCTAGCTCAGTGGCGCCTTGCCTACCACTCTGGTGCAGGCCCAGTGGCAAGACCAGCCCTGGGGCTGGAGAACCGCTTGGAATGCACATACGATGGCTGGAATCCCCGCAGCCACCTTGGAACATAAGATCACTTTGAGGTTGGAAGTCATTAGCTGAGGGATAGCAGAAGAGGACTCCCTGGTAACTGTGCAGCTGCTGTATCACCCCTGTACCTCCAAATTTTGGTCTTCTCTTATGGGGATGAAAACTAACCATTATACTATTTAAGTGATAGCTCTTTGAGTTTTCTACTAGATATATGCTGATGAACCGAATCTTAACTAAAATCTCCCCTATGTTGCTGAACCACAGCTTCTAAAATTGACATTAACCTCCATTTTTCTACATCCTAAGGCTTCTCACTCATCAATATTGGTCTTGGGACATAACTTCCTAATTCTCACTTAGCCTGGTGTTTGAAAGCCGGAAAGGGCAGCACAAGGCTAAATTATGACCTTTACGTAAAAGAACCCAGACAAAACCAACTAATCAGCTCTGATTTATATGTGGCAAAACCGAAGTAGAACAAGAAGCACTGTTGGGTCCCAGGCAAGGTGAAACCAATGAACCACTCATGTAATTGAGTAAATAAAAAAGTGAGGAAAGAGGTCAGAAAGGACAATAAACTGTCCAAAACACTTTCACGCTAAAGCCTCTTTAGAAGATCCAGGTAGCCCCTGCTTATGAAAGTTTAAGTTAATACACCTGGCTTTAGCAAAAGACGATCAGCGTGTGTTTCATTGACAGAAGGAAATCCACGACAATGTTCCCTTTTACGACAAAAGCTGCAAGGCCCTCCCGGCTTCGGCTTCGGCTTCGGGGGTGTTTTACGGCAGCTGCTGTAGAAGCAGCGGCTCCCTGGGAGCAAAAGACTCTGCCAGGACATCCTGCTACTGCTGATGTGAGTGTGGTCTTAGGTTTTATGTCTTACTTGTATGATTTGTAGGTTATGTTTTGGGTCTGGGAATGCTCAAAAAGTTTCCATGTAAATGAATGGTAATTACTTCCCTTTCTACCACCTCAGTTGAGTGTGTTCTGGAAGTGTTACGTTCAGGTGGCAGGGGAAAACATTCCTGTTGTTTTTTAGGGATAAAAACAATTTTTTACTATCAATTGTGTGTGTGTGGTGTGTGTGTGTGTGTGTGTGTTATGTAGCCATTGGCACTATCCTCTACATGTTTTTAAAATTTAAACTGAATCCTCAATGTCACATAATGGTCCTCCCCCCGACTGCCCTGTCCCTAAAGCAAACAAAACAACATCTTTTTAAATTGGGAAAAAAAAAAGCATTAAAAGTCAAATATCACTTCAGTGGTATCAAAATTCAGAATGTCCTTTTGAGCAGGAGAGCCAGGACAGATGCACGCTGCGGGAGCTTCCTGTCTCCTGGCAAAGTCTAACAAGGACAGGTGGGCAAGTCTGTCCAGGGCCTGCAGGCCGCGGTGTTTGCGGAGCCCAGTCCGTGGCTGTGCCCGGCTGGGGGGGGGGGGAGCTGGAGGTTTCCTTGATCATCCAGAAGGATCTACACCTGGCGTGCGCGGGCTGATTGTCCAGTAAACCAAACGCTGCATTTGAAAATTGAGCCATTACTGCCACCTGTTGACTAATTGTCGCCTGTTGCCGAGGCCAACCAAACCCTGCAAGGGGCGGTGGGTTCCTGCTCAAGTGTGGGCACCAGGCCCTGGGCATTGCCGGAGGGGAAGATGCTGACTCCAGGTGTGTGTGACTTTCTCTGACCAAGCCCTCCGCGGGGGCGTCTTATTCTATGTCATGTGTCCCACTTAGGGTGGATGCTAAGATGCTTCTCAGTTCTTTTATTTTTTTTTGGTGCAGTTTACACTTTGAAAAGTATTTTTGTACATAGCGACCCCATCTTGCCATCCGCCTTAAGCGGTCAGGAGCGGGGAGACCCCAATGTACAGATGGAAATACAGAGGCTCGGCAGGGAAAATGGTTTTACAAAGGGCGGCAGCCTGAGCCCCTTTGCCTGGGCTCTGACCTTGGTTTTGGTCCCTGGGAGGAGCATGAGCAATTTGGGCAACAGACTTATGTACAGACAATGGAGCCAGAAAACCAGTTCTGGCCCCTTCACTGCCTCGTTCTCCTTTTCTTTATTTTTGAGAAAAGCTGGGCAATTACTTTCGGATAAGTCGGGAGCTGGGCTACGGTGGGGCCCCTGCCTGAGGCCCTGCTGCCAGCGGGGAGGAGTTGAGCACTGCGCACACACTGGGCACTGCTGTGCCCCCAAGCCTACCTTCGTGGTCCACACGCTGCTCCACATTAGAATGTGACCTGAACCACTGCTGGCTGATGGAGGCCCCCTGATTCTGCTGTGGGCTGGGGCCTTGGAAATGGGCGGTAGGCACGCTCGGGGAATCTTCCTCCTTCTCGATCACTCCGAAGAGTGTTCTCCAAGAAGACTTCTTTTTGGCGAGGGGGATGGACTTCTCACTGGATTGGAAATTTTGGCAAGGTCCTGACACCGGCACCCGTGATTCACCTGATGACCAGCGCCCCAACCCCTTCTGGGATAGACTCCTTGTCCTCAGCAGCTTTGGCGAGAAGACAGATGAGTTTCTCTTGAAGACATGGTGTTTGACGTAGAATTCTAGGATCTTGAATTCTATGCTGTTGGAGTCATCGTCTTCCAGGGGGATGTCCTCCAGGTCACCTCCGCTGGTGGTGCACATGGCAGGTCTGCAATGACAAAGTCCACATGCATCCTGGTGCCTGTGGGCAGTCTGCTCAGGCAGGTCAGGGGCCCCGGGTGACACGTAATGCGGCACCCATTCTGTGCATGCTGGGAGATGGGTTCATTAGAGATGGAAAAGCCGAGTGCTTTCTGAAGGTTCAGTGTCACAGTGATGGGAAGAGAGACATGAACCTACTGGTAGATAACTCCAGACAGAGTGTGCTGGGAGGGGGACAGAGTTATAGTGTGGTGTGGGAGATGCAAATAAAGGACAGGTGAAGACCCCATTAAAGATGGAAAAGGTTTATCTGGGAGTTTTAGTGGGGCTAAACACAGGATAGGACAGATTACAGGTGAATTGAGGATATATTTGAAGAACAGGGAGAGAACTAACTAGCACAGGTTTTTTTTTTTTTTAAAGATTTTATTTATTTATGCATACAAGAGCTGGGGTATAGGCCAGAGATGCGGGGGGTGAGAGGATTCACCAGAGACAGAGCAGGGAACAGAACAGGCAGAATGACTGAAATACATGTTGAGGGGAGCAGCGGGCAAGACAGGAGAGGTCTGCTGTGCCATGTGGGTTGCTCCCTGACTGACTGGGGATCAAACTCATGCTGCAGAGGCTGTGGATTGCTTCATAGTGTGGTGCTTAACCCCTTGAGCCACCAAGGAGGCCCTAGCATAGGTTTTTTGAAAGCTTACTTTATACCATTTGGCTTTTATGAAAAGACTTATATTGGTACCTGTTTTTGTTAACCAAAGTAAACCTCAAGAGGATTTTCCTTTTCACAACAAAAGCCAGGAGGTGAAAACAAGCATTCCTTGCCTATTTCACAGCAGCTTTTTCAAGACAATTGTACCCTAAAGCAGTGAGTGTTACCCTGCTGAGTGCCTTCCCCCCCGAAAAACTTATATAGGGACACAGGCATCTTATCATTCCTTCCTTTACTATACGTTAGCATGATTTTGTGTTATTTGCTATGATTTGGTAGGTCATTTTTGGGGGGGTCTGTGAATGCTCAAAACTTTTCCATATAAATGAATGATAATTGTCTCTTTAAATTTCTCAGGAACTCCCTACTTTCAAATAGTGGGGGAGACCTGCACCCCGTGAGACATGAAGAACAGCACATGACGGCTTTCCCAGAACCTTGCACAGTGCCAAGCACATGGTAAGTGGTCCATAAATATTTGGGAAATGAAAGAAAATCACTGTAGATAAAATATAGGACATTCAGCCAAACTGGAACTTCAGGTCAACAACAAATAATCTTTCAGTATAAATACATCCCAAGCACTACATGGAACATGCTTAACTGGAAAAAAAATTACTTGTTTATCCAAAATTCAAACCTAAGTGGGTATCCTATGCTTTTATGCACTATTGGGAAACCAATAATGAAAGACGTGGCTGAGAAATATTGAAACCTGAATAAAGTGGAATAAGGGTTGAAACTGAGCAAACAAATCAGTAAAAGAATGAACCAGAAAGGGGGAGGCCAGAGTGAAATATGTGGTTAGATCTATGGGCAGCAGAAGTGCTGTGGAAGGGGCTGAGCCCGAGCAGCAGACCAGAGCTGGAATGTGCCAGAAGAGACATCTGAAATCCTTAATCCCAAGTTCCTTGTAAATGTGGCAGCTCTGGGTGCTGGAGGCAGGAACTACGTCCTTGGGTGGAAGGGTGAGCAGTTGCCTCAAGCCATTATGCTTCTGAAGGAACATCCTCTTAAGTTAGGGGAAAACCCTGATTAACATTAAAGTGTGAGCTTTAACATTGTGTGCACGTGTTGGTGCATGCGCCTGTGTGTCCACATGCACGTGTGTGCCTGCACGTGGCAGGTGGTTGCTGGCGTGAGGAAAGGTCAACTTCTTGGAGAAACAAGTTTGCTAAATGCTGATTCAGGAGCAACGTCAGGAAAGGGGGAAACCCACTGAGGTCAAGAGAGAGTACGCGGTCCTTCTGTTTTCTGAAAAGGGAGTTTTTTTTTTGCTAAGGGCTAGAAATGAAGCCAGTACTTGGCCCAACCCACAGGTGAGGCCAAGGGTGAGGGAGAAGCAGAAAACACAGCCGGGCTCAGGCTGTGGCCCAGGAATCCCACCACCCACTGAGGGGGTGGACATGGAGGGGTGCTGACCAGGACCTAGAAGGGTTCAGACATCTGGAATGTGTTTAACAAGTGCAGGTTTTCCCTTCTTGTCCTTACTGTAAAGTTAAGGGGGCTCTGCTACTTATTCTTTCCAAGCAGCAGTGAGTTTATCACTCATTGCATCTCTGCTGCTTACAGCTAGTCCTGTGCAAAGGAAAAGCCCACCTGCTGGAATTAAGGAAACTAAGTTTTATGCTTGTGTTTATAAAACAGAATCCCTGGGTGGGGCTGGGTAGGAGGCTGCAGGGAAGGCTGTGAAGCCTATTCTAGTTCAAGGTCTCACCCCTTCGCTTCCCAGGCTGGGTCTACACCCTCTCCTTATCTCCAACAAACCCAGGCAGACCTGGATTCTCAAAGGCAAGCTTATAGAACTGCTTTTGTTGGCCTCTTTTCCATTCCTGAGGGCTCATCCGCCCTACCCCCAGCTCCTCTAAGTGATCGCAGTCCTGGGAGCTCCCCTAGGAGGTTCTGCTGGGAAGCAGAAATAGCAGGGAAGCACCTAAACTCCCGCCATCACCAGACAGCCTTTGGGACTTTGCTAGCTCTGACCTTACTTGTTCAGATTCAGGTTCACCTGCCCTTCAGGTGACGGCCAGGCCCGGCCAGTGGAGGAAACCATCTTGGTGCGTGCTTCATGGTTTGCTGCTGGGGCTGTAGGGACTAGGCCTGAGCCTCCTGCAGGCCTTAGGCTTACTCTGCCGTGCCCCTCAGGCAGTGAGGAGTGGGGTGACCTGCAGCAACAGGCTTAGGAAAAGCGCTGATTTCCATTGCTTGGTTGTACTGTCGGGCCTGCGTGTAACTCACGGTGGGCACTCATTCCTGAGAAAACCATGCGCTGTCTGGTTGCCTTGAGCATCCTGCCAGCACCCTGATGCCCTTCATGCGGGCTCTTCCCGCCTCCCCCAACATCAGACCTTCCTTCCCTTGTTTGTCATCTGTGAGTATGATGTGTGAGGAGGTATGGAGACAGAATGTCTTAACATCCCAAGCTCCCTAACTCAGAGACAAAGCCTTGGGATGCATTAATTGAACAGAAGGACCCTAGGACTCACTAGAACAGAGAGGGCAGGGAAGTGAGAGCGTGGGTAGCTTTCTAGTAGTATATGGCCCATCTTACCTGGGCTGAATACTCAGGGGTGACTCTGGGAGTCTGCCAGGACAATACTGGTGCCCAGGTTCTCACAAGGCGCTCAAGACTCTGGCCTCAACCTAGGACTCTGTCCTGGCCCAGTCCCTGCTCTGGGGGAAGAGTCACCATCTCCAGGAGACAGCAACCGGCTGGGCTACCTTCACACACCTTGTCACATGCTCAGTGACGGGAGATGCAGAAAGAGCAATGCTCCTGCAAATCACAGATTCGTAACTGAACTATCAGAGCCTTGTGGAGCAAAGGCGAAATGAAAGAGAAACCTAAGTAACTTTCTCCCCCTTTCTTCGAAACCCCAATAAAACTAGAATTCATTTTGCATCCTGACACTTACATCCTAAGAATTCTTCAATAAACTCCATTTTCTGGAGTTGGATTCCTCATTAGCACAACCAGCACTGAACACCACCCTTGTCCCCGCAGTGTCCATTGACAATGAAATCTGGGGTTACCTGGTCAGTGAGTTCCTGCTTCCGGTCAAGTCAGGATGTCCCTAAACCTGAGTACCTCTCCAGGGGGTGGAGGAGGAAGGCTTCCCCAAGTCCTCCTGCCCTCTCATTTACGAAGGCTGCACCATGTCAAGCCTCCACTCATGCTGGGCCTCTTCAGATTGGGGAGGAAGGCAGGAGTGGCCTCGGGAGGCCCTGTCACTTCCTGAGTAAGCCCTGCCTCCAGCATTGTTACCAAAGGAGGGGCTGACCTTTTTCCCCTGTAAACTGCCTGAAAAGAATTCTGAGTCCTTTATCAAGGATTTTCTCTGCCCTTTGAGACAATGATGTGGGTGTTTTCTCGACAGTCCAGTCCTTTCTTTCCGTTTTATCTGTCCAACAAATGTTTACTGACTGTGTAACAGAGGACAGGTACTGTGAACTGGTAACCACACCCACAGGCAGGTGTTTCAATTCCCATTTGTCAGACAGGGAAACAGAGGTGCAGAGAGGTGGAGAATCTGGCTAGTGGTCTCTTATCAGTTGAGCTGAGCTTCAAATCCTGGTCTTTCAGGTTTCACATTATATCATGTTAGGGCTCCTATGAGATTCAAAGATTGGATGCAAATGGAACCACTGGGAAAAGCTTTAAAGATGGACACTCACCCCAGCCACAGCAAGAACCACAAATGCTCAAAAACCTGAGGTTACATTTTTTAGGGATAGAATTCCCGATGTATAGGAGAGAAGAAACAGTTAAATGGAGCATGTCCTGTCTAGATTCTTAACTGCAGTGGTTATGTACAGCTGTATCTGTGCCCACGAAACCTAAGCCTCAGCTCGGGAAACAGGAAGAAGGAAGTGTGAATGTTAAAGGGGAATTAAGCTCAGTAATAAAAGTAGAGGAAGAACTGGTTCTTTAAATACAAGCCAGACAGATCCAGGAGAGGAATGGACAGTAGTTGTGGGAAAGTCAGTTCTTTGGTGATTTAAAGTGACTTTTTATAGCAGGCTAAAATTTTTTCTAAGATTTATTTTCATTTATTTATGCATACAAGAACTGGGGTGCAGGCCAGAGGTACAGGGCCAGGGGGTGTAAGAGGATTCACCAAAGACAGAGTGGGGAGCAGAACAGGCAGGTCTACTGAAATACACTGCTGAGGGGAGCAGCTGGCGAGACAGGAGAGGTCTGCTGCATGTGGGTCACCAGGTGGGTCAGCTCCCTGGCCAGGGATGGAAATCATGCCGCAGTGGCTGGTGATAGCTTGATAGTGCTGAGA